ACTACCTACCCCTTATTCTAACGCAAAGCACGTCGGTCTCGGCGACAGAAGATGGGAGCCTTATGAAACGATCGAGGGAAGAATTATTTGTGGCGGAACGTAGGACAAGACCGCGAATCTTCGTCGCCAACATAGCAGCCATGTCGCCAAACCAGGGAACCAACACCCACTCTACCACAACAACAACCACCACATACCTCACCATGAAAACACCAGGCCCCCATTCGCGATCGAATTCCCAGTCCTACTTCACCCACAAGCCTACGGGCACGCCGCTAGCCTCGCCGCGCATCTACTCCGTCGGCCAGCCATACCCTCCCCGCCTCTCTCCCGGCAACTCCGCCCAACAACAAGATGCTCGTACCCCGAGCCCTAATTACTTTGGCCTTTCGGTCGACCATGCCGCCGATCCTCTGGAGTCGGCCGTGTTGCCTAATGAAAACTGGAGCTCGCCGTCTTCCTCGGTGAAATCCTTCGCGGCAGCAATCCCGAAGCCCCTACCCATAGATGCGAACCCCGACTTCGAGGCCTTCAGGAGGCAGATAGATGCCAACCTCGGGAAGTCGTCCTTCAGCCTGTCGGGGTCGCACTTCAACATCACAATGGGCCCGCGCACTCCAGGACCCTCGACACCTTTTGGCTTCAAGAGGCCAGAGCCGCCCAAGCGACACAACCTAAGCCTAGGTGCCGAGCCCACGGGCGGCCATCTTCCCAGGCTGTCTGGTTTGGGTCTGCATGGCCCGCTCCCCAACCTCAAGTTCAACAAGGACGTTCAAAACCTCAAACAGTCAGGCGACAATGATAGTATACACGATTCCGCCTATATCTCCGGGGACTCGAAGAGGAGCTCCCAAGCCTCCCTCAACGCGCCTTCCTTCAACCTCAATGCGCCTTCCTTCTTCAATATGGGCAGGCAAGAATCGCCAGCGCAGATCGATCCCCCATTTGGAACCCCAGCCGAATGGGGGAAGTCGGCCCATTCCATCTCTCGAGTCGACGACCGCCACCCGCGCTTGTCCATGTCATCAACAAAGGCCGAGCCACCAATGCAGCAACGACGAGCGGATACTGTCCCTCCCAACCCAAAGGCAGCGGCGAACAACGATGGGCCTGCTATGATAGACCCGGCTCGGCTGAAGGACCTGATGGAGCAGGGAGATGATTCAGAACTCTTGTTGCTGGATATTCGGGTTTCGCCCCAGTATGCCGTATCCAGGGTAAAGGGCTCTTTGAACCTGTGCATTCCGACAACCCTACTGAAGCGAGCAACATTTAACTTGCAGAAGCTCCAGCAAACGTTCTCGGGAAACCAGGATCAAGACAAGTTCTCCAACTGGCGCAACGCCAAGTACCTTGTCGTGTATGATGCTTCTTCGTCCGACAGGCGCGACGCCATGGGCGCCATCAACATGATCAAGAAATTCACCAACGAGGGCTACTCTGGTACAGCAAATATCCTGCGTGGAGGATTTAGGGCTTTCGCCGAAACATACCCCGACCTGATTGACCGTGGGTCATCCGTTACCACAACGCCAGCCTTGTCTCTAGGACAGGGTGCCGCTGGTCCCGGAGGAGCCAACATCCCGCCTGTCATTGGCGGTGTCATGTTGCCCACCACTGGCAACGGCCCGAACCCCTTCTTTAACAACATTCGGCAAAACCAAGATCTGGTTGACGGAGTTGGGCAGATGGACCTTGGTCTTCCTCAGGGGCTCAACAAGGAGACTTTACCAAAGTGGCTAAAGGAAGCGGCTGACAGCGGTGACCACGGCAAGAAGGTGTCCGAAAAGTTCCTTAGCATTGAGTTGAGGGAACAGTCTCGGATGAAGGACGCTTACTCGGTTTTTACACCTGGTGCCAACGCGGACCCTAAACAGAATGACAAGGTGCAGCTGTCCGGAATCGAGAAGGGTGGAAAGAACCGGTATAAGGACATTCTACCGTTCGAACACGCGCGGGTAAGACTTCAGGGTCGCCGTGATGGCGAATGCGATTATGTCAATGCGAGCCACATCCAAGCAAGCCGTAGCAACAAGCGCTACATCGCCAGCCAGGGCCCGCTACCGGCTACTTTTGAGGTACGTAGACACTTGATGAGGAATATTCTAGGTTTTGAGTGCGTCGGTAGCTGACTGATGATCTTTACAGGATTTCTGGTCAGTCATTTGGGATCAGGACGTCCGCGTCATTGTCATGTTGACGGCCGAATCCGAGGGAGGACAACTAAAGTGCCATCCCTACTGGAAAGGCAAAGACTTCGGCCCTATCAAGCTCCGGGTACTCTCTGAAAAGAAGGTGTCTTTGGATATTGACAAGCATAGGCAAGGCTCTCAAGCCGGCGTGCCGTCAACGTCAGAATCCGCCTCTTCGACAACAAACGTACCTTCTGGGAATGCTACGCAAGGTGCATTCCCCTGGGACCCACCACAAGCTGGCGGAGCGGAGACTGGCCGCCGTCGTGCCAATACCACAACGATGCAGCCAAACCTCGACGGCACACAGCAGCCCGCTGCGGCTTCGTCAGAGACACCATATGTCATCATCCGCAAGTTCGCCCTGAGCCACGCCGCTCATCCATTCCTCCCGATGCGCGAAATCACCCAACTCCACTACCCCTCTTGGCCCGACTTTGGAGCGCCGGCTCAACCGAGCCACCTCCTCGCCCTGGTCGAGCTTGCCAACGTCATGCAACGAGCGGCACCTGCTCTTGAAATCTCCGGCGCGGCCCCCTCCGACGAGATGCAGGTTGACGTCAAAAACTTCACCAACCGTCTCAAGCGCGGCGATTCACTGCCCCTCGACCCGAACGACGCACCCGAACCGAACGATCACGCGCGTCCCATGCTGGTGCATTGCTCTGCAGGCTGCGGCCGGACAGGCGCCTTCTGCACGGTTGACAGTGTGATCGACATGCTCAAGCGCCAACGGATGCGCAAGGCCGAGCAGGCAGACCGACGAATCGATAACCGCTTTGGCGGGCGCAGGATCTCAGAAAACGAGAGTGAGGCCGATGGGGTCATGGACGGAGTCAAGCCTTCTAAGCGACAGGCAACCGAAAGTAACCGCGACTCGGACGGCGACATCCCGATGGGTGGACATAAGCTTCAATTCGATCACGGACCCGGCGGCCTAGGAGGGATGAGGAACTTGGACGAGAGCAAGGGCTTCGACTTCGGCGCACCACTACCAGCATCAAACGAGACGAAGGAGGAAAGCAAGCATGACGAAGGCATCGATACCACCTGGGTCGATGATGACACGCTCGACCTCATCGCCAGGACCGTTGAGGATTTCCGTGGTCAACGATTGAGCATGGTTCAGAGTCTAAGGCAGTTCGTCCTCTGCTACGAGACGGTCATCGAGTGGATCTGGCGCCTGGAGGAGCGTTCTCATACCGGCACCGTTAGTGGGGCTGGTGGGAGGAGAGGCAGTAGCAGAGTCAGGAGCGGCAGCTTGGCTTTGTGAGATGATACGAGGGGATGAAGCATTGTACACAAGTTGATCAGTTCAGGTCAGAGTCAGTTGGGCACTGGGCCTTTTTCTCGATAAGGGGTTGAGGTTCCGGTTCGGCGAAAGGACATAAAGACGGAAAAAGCAAAGAGCATTTGGGCATTGAACGGAATGGATGGAATGGATATGAAATGGGATGGCAAGGAAGGGTATATCAATATGGTTTTAATCGGTTGTTGTTCCCAATCATAACACAGCGGTGGACCATATAACGAACGAAGGCAGGGGACGGAATTGTAAGAAAGAAAGAACGGATTGATGGATGGACTGAAGGAAAGAAAGGGACGAAGAGATGGGTGATGATTCCTTTTACCTTACTACTACTACTAGCATATTTTCGGTTTGGCTGGTCGTTCGGTCGGTCACTCGGGTTGGTGGGAGAGCATTTGTCATCCTGTTACTCGTCACGTTTTGTTTTCGTTTTTTGTTAGTTGTTGTCGTTGTCGTTTTGTCTACGCATACCTCAACAGTTACCCAGTTACCCCCGCTTCTGCACCTTTTTCTGTCGTTTACTACATTATTACCATTTTACCATTACCTACGTTGATTCACTGCAGGCATTGTGTTCCTTCGCAAATTGCATGGTGACAAAAGGAGGGAGGTATGGCGTTCTTCTGTGTCTGTCTGGTTTATGGTTTGTGGTTTGTAAAAGTAGGTAGCATTCACTTGCATGTGGCGCGTTTTATCGGCGTTCGAGACGGTGTTCATACGGGAGTTAGGTTGTATAGTAGCTAGCATATGGTCTGTATACTTTTTCTTCACATTAGTTTCCGTCCAACATATTGGAGAGTATGGTATAAGAGCAGAAGAGATACGAGTGCTCATCGTCGCTAAGATGAAGTTCAAGATTATTACCAAAGATTAGACTATGAGGGTTCGCCACTCACCCACCCATGGGTAGCCACGCTGTCTCAGAAGCTTACAAATACTTTACAGTAGACTTCTATACACAGACCACTCTAATGAACTGTTAATGTACCCTCCTTCCTTTAGTAAGATCACGTTTTTACCTGTCGCGTGATGGTTTTGGGACATCCAGTGATGACCACCCAGTGCAAAGAAAGCCACCTTGGACTTAACGGTAATGCCTGGTCTAAGTAACCTCCTATAGAAGTCCAAAGGCATCATGTAGTGTACATCGAATGTATCACTTTGAACAGTGTGTACTAAGAGTATCTCTGTTGTCATCTGGTGGGTGACCAACCTGTCTGTGACTTGTTGCGCTAGGAATTCCGCTCTTTGTAATATACAACCACACGGTACGCTTAAAAGAATCTATTAGAACCAGTGAAGACAGACTCAAGAAAGATGCCCTGCGGCGAGCACGGCAAGTGTAAGCAAGCGAACAGATCCAGTACGTAGTGTACTTTTCTTCGTAAAGAGTAATATTGTAGTATTCTGTATCGTATCGTTGTACGCAGTTGAATCCCTCTTTGCCATTTCTTCCCCTTTCTCCCCGTTCCGTTTTCCTCCTCTCTTCCGAGTAAAACTTAACGCCACAACTTGGCCAACGACACCTCCTTGTCATCATGCTTATTCAGGATCTTGGCCGTGGCCAGCTCAAAGTCCTCCTGCGTGACGTGCACGCGCCTCTCGCGGAGGGCGTACATGCCGGCCTCGGTACAGACACCCTTGAGCTCGGCACCCGAGCACCCGTTCATCTTCTCGGCGATCTTGGTCAGGTTGATGCCGCGCGTCAGGTTCATCTTGCGGCTGTGGATGCGCAGAATGTCGGCGCGGGCCTCGACACTCGGAGGGGGGAACTCGATCTTGCGGTCGATACGGCCGGGGCGCAACAGGGCGGGGTCGAGAATGTCGAGACGGTTGGTGGCCATGATGACCTTGATGTTCTTGGTCGGCTCGAAACCGTCGAGCTGGTTGAGGAGTTCCAACATGGTGCGCTGGACTTCGGAGTCGCCGCCCGACGAGCCCTCGACACGCGAAGAACCGATGGAGTCGATCTCGTCCATGAAAATGATGGAAGGAGCGTGCTCACGCGCCATAACGAACAGCTCGCGCACCATGCGGGAGCCCTCGCCAATGTACTTTTGCACGAGCTCGGAGCCCGACACGCGGATGAACTTGCAGTCGGTGTGATGGGCGACGGCACGGGCGAGCAGGGTCTTGCCGGTACCGGGAGGGCCGTAGAGTAGGACACCCTTTGGTTGCGCGATACCTAGCGACTCGAACAGCTCGGGGTGCTTGAGGCCGAGCTCGATCACCTCCTTGATCTCCTTGATTTGCTGGTCCAGACCACCAATCATATCGTAGGTACTGTCGGGCACCTTTTCGACCATCATGAGGGACACGAGCGGGTCTACTGAGGAAGGAAGCATCTTTTCGAGCTTATACGAGTCTGAGAGGAGGGTGACGCGCTTGCCGACGGTGAGCTTGGTGATGTCGACATTATCGGATACATCGACGACTGGTGGGCGGCGGAGGCAACAAGGTTAGTACTTTCCATCATTCATCCATCCGTAACACAGGACACTGCAGTTTTAGGTAGGAAGCGCATACCGTACTTTGCCCTCGGGGTGCACCTTGACGAGGACCTTCTTTGTGCTCATAACCTTGACGACCTCACCCACATAGGACCCGGGCTGTTGTAGCAGACCGAGCTCTTCCCTGAGCAGGCGCACGCGCGAGTTGTAATCATTTCGTTGTGCTTCGAGACGGCGGAGGACGGCTTGACCCTTGAGGATCTCGAGCTTCATCGCCTCGATCTTGTTGTGGTAGTAGTTGTCGAGCGCCATGGTGACGGCGTGTGGGGGAGAGACGGAGCTCTCGCGGGGGGAATTAGTGAGGTTGTTTGTCCGTTGTGTTGTGCGAGGTGAGAGAAGCTTGCCCTTGGTTGCGTGATGGGGATTCGGTCGTCGCTTGTTCGTCGAGGTTGTGTGTTGCGATGCGCCGACACTCGTTCGTAATGGTGGGTTGTTGGTGGTGATGTTTACTAGTGGTGGAATGGTGGAGGTGGTGATGGCGTTCGGTGACCTTCGCTGACGCTGAAGACAGGCAGCTTCAGGTCAACGCAACACGCCCGGCCGGCTCTCAATGCCAAGACTCAGCTCCCGCCTCTATCAGAACGCCATGTCAGGCAGGTACGTACCCATAGACGACAGAGGCTCGTGCTTTGTGGTGCTACACGTGACTTCGTGGCTCCAGGCTCGCAGCAGTCGCAGGGGAGCTTCAAATGGGTAAAGTCTTGAAAATGATGTCACTTTGTCAGTTTCCCTTTCGAGGCTCAGCTGCGTCGTCAAACTCCACATGCTGCGTGTGCTGTGGGATCTCGCTAACTCCAAAAGGTCCCCGTCATGCTACGGTGCGGTCCCGTCACGATTGCTACCAGCACGCATATTCACCTTTCCCTGCAGATGCTTGTCATCCTCATACTTGAGACTTGCTGTGCAATGCGTCTTTAAAAATCATCTCTTCCTGTCAATGTTTCAACATTTATCGCTTCCATTTCTAACCTTTTTACAGTGAGGGAGATGGCACAGAAGGATGCACCGCACATGTCACTGCGCATGTCTCATTCCCATGAGCCTGTCGCTCAGCTACCCCTCTTTCACGCGGTTACCTATCAGTTGGCTTCTTATTCTAATGGGCAATCACCATCCTTTCCCTTCAGTGTGACTGAAAGAATTTTATTTTTTTTGGTCTCCGAGTCAAAATAGTCATTGATAACCGGCTTGGTTCAAGATCAAGACTTGATGATGGATGACGGTTGCTTTGAAACGGTTAATGGATTTCTGTTAGCCATGAGAATGAGCAATCGTTTCCCATACTCATCCTGGTCTGAAATGCACATGTATACCCGTCGCAGTCATGCTACACCGTGCTTTCACTTCACAACCCTCGATTCACATGGTGATAACTCGATGTAGTGAGAGGTGAGGCGGCCCTGCGATATCAGCTCAGCTGATGGTGTGGGGGTTGTCAAACGGGCAGGCCTAGCAGGGCACAGAAGGGGTCACCCTGGTGAGCCTGGCAAACCTGGATCAGTCATCCATCACGGTCCATGAGAATCGTGATGGCTTTGAGACCGGCGTCGACCGGGAGAGGGCATTTGGCTTTCCTCACCCTCCACAAAATGGTGTCAGCAACTCGTGCTGGCCAACCGGCGCAGGCGGCGGTCACACTGAATCCTCCCTCGCGCTGTTCCCGTCTTGGTTCCAGATGCGCCAACTTGCCAAGATCGAGACATGGGCGGCTTGAATCGAAGTCCGAAGTGTCTTTGCGCAAGCTGATACTGTGCTGCAGCAGTGTACATAGGCAGAGATGGAATGAATAACATCGTATTTGTTTTAAAGAGAGATGGAAGTTGACAAGGACTATTGTGCAACTCGGTGTTTGTTTCTCTTTATACACCACTTCAGGGTCCTGATAATACTTTCAACAAGAAAGGAAGATGTTAAAGGTCTGAAACTCAAAGAGGAAGGCCGTTATCTGTTGCAATGGAATGTCTGTGCTCAAGTTCCATGAAAGTGGTTGCAGTTGCAGCGACAGTTGCAGGCAGCGGCACCTTCCGCAGTGCTTGTGGTTTGTTCGGGCAGGCGTCATGCTGGTGTTATCCCCCAAATTTCCATATCAGAAAAAGTTGACTCTTGTCTCCAACTCTTTCCGTCCTTGGTTTTCATCTTCCTTTCCCTTTCGCGACTCTTCAGACCTGATCCAAGGCTTTCATCCCTACTAGTTGGAATAGACTTTCAGCCCGATAACTTTGGAAAGTCTCTAGCGTGTTCCGTCTTTGCAGCCCGAGCGGCAACACGCCAGTGTTTTATTTTTCAGGGTAGGGGTACAGCTAGCCATAACACAGCTGCCTACAGGGAAGACGCTGCACAGTACGGGCAAGGGCCAGCGAGGTCGATCTTTTCCTGCTTCACACTGACAAGCGCTGCAACAAAGTAAAGACACAACCACCAGCTTCGGGCTTTCGCAACAGTCGCAACCAACTCGGGTCATCAGGCCACGCCCACCAACCGTCCACTTTTCAAGAGCAGTCACTTGTCGCATTTCCAGCATTCTGATCATCCGTACTTTCTTTAAGAAAACCTCATCCCGTCCACTGTCGCGGCCGCCAGTTCAAGTCTGGAGGATCCCCGAGATCATGAACCCGTCCTTCTCCACTACTTGGTGCAACTGTCGTGCCATACCAACTAGAAATCTCGCCTCACTTGTTCACCGAGTCACTGTGATCTAGATCCGAACACCAAACATCCTTCTCCTAGCTTGTCGCCAACTCCTACGCTGCGACAGATCTCGCCATATTTACCTGCCTACCGCTACCGCTGAAGACTTCGAGGTCTGATCCTTCTTTTTCGCTTGCAGAAAAGAACGGACGGAATTCTGCATCCACAACAACACCCTACGTACATCGTTTGATCCTGGTATACTTCCTAGCACCAAAAGTCACAACACACCATTGCTGTTGATCACCATCCATTGGCATTGCTATCCACACACACAACCCCTCACCATGGGTCCTCCCTCCCAGGCGGGCGATGAAGACCGTCCCGATCCGTCTCCGACCAACACGCGCCGAAGTTCGCGCCTGGATCCCATCAACACCACCGGAGCCCGACATGACGATGCCGGCATGAACCCTCCGGATACCAGCTTCCAGCCCACCGACACTGTGCGGAGGCTGGCTGACCCTACCGGCCTTCCTGGTGGGTATTTCTTCTGCGATCTTCCCCCCACTGCCCACCTTGGCATCCTGGGCCATTCTTGGACTTTCTTGGATGTATCGTACCCTCGCTGACCATATCATGCGTATATATAGGTGCCGTCAACAGCCCTACCGCCGCCAACATGGTCAATGCGGAGGGCGCACCCTCTATCGCACCATCCGAGCGTGAACGTGCCGTTTCCCGAGCATCCCAATCCGCCATCCCCCGTTCGCCCATGCTAGGTCCCGATCGCGGACGACCACGACCTCGCAAGCCCCCAATGACACGACGCACTTCGTCCAATGCCCAGGCTCCCCATCGGGGCGAGGTCTTCTCTGTCGACGACGACATAACTGAAGTCGAGCGTGATGCTGCTGAGCGCCAGAAGAGCTACAGTGGCTCTGCAGCCCGCAGGCGAAACCTGCCTCCGGCTCCCTTGTCCCGAGTACACTCGATTTTGGATGAAGATGGAGCAAACGATAGCCGAGATCGAGAACCCCCGGACGTCATCGAAGAAGTGGACACTCCGGCTCAGGAAGAGCAAGTCGATCTGCCCCCTCCAGCTGAAGAAGACAGTGTCGAGGGAGAGACGCCGGTTGAGGACGATGATGGTGACATCAGTGACGCCGAAAGCTTTACGCTGAAGGACCGTCAGCAGGCAATCAACGAGACACACCCCTTCGGCATCAGGCTGTGGAAGCCTGCCTTGTACAAAAAGGACCGTTCGGTCCAAAAGACGGCCGAGGGAGATATCCACTCCTCACCTGGAGGGCATGTCAGTCGATGGCTGCTGTTCTTCAACATCATGTGGACCTTGGCCTTTGGCTGGTGGATGTCCATCATTGCTTACACGGGTGCCATTGTCTGCTTCATCTTTGCCGCCGCTCCTAGTGGTAGGGAGTACGGACGAGTCCTCTGGGGTCTTGGTGGTTACCTGTTCTATCCATTCGGCAAGTTCATCCGCTTGGAGCAACAGGATGCCTATCTGGACGAGGACCAGGGCGAAGGCAGAAGCATCAGCGAGTACGAGCAATGGCAGAGTGGTGACCTCGAGGATGGCCGCCTGTTCTTTGGTCCCGAGCGAGACCGGTCGATTATTGGTCATTCCCGCCGGAGTTTGGACTCGGAACCCGACGAGACGGAGAGCCTGCTCGGCCGCGGTCGTGGTCATGTTTCCGATCCTGACCTTCCTCGCATGAAGAGAAGACTGTTCGGTCGTGGCCAATGGAATGTTGGGCGCGTCATTTACTTCCTCTTCTTCTACACCCTGATTATGCCCTCGCTCTTCATTGTATCGGCAATCTGTTGGTTCCTGGTGTTCTGGATTCCCATGGGTAAGGTCACTATGCTTCTCATCGACCATCTTCGACGCCATCCTCTGGCCCTGTGGTTCGAATCCGACATCTCAACTGCCCGGGCCTCCACCACGCCGCACTCTTCCATCCTCATTTGCACGTATCGTGCTGTCGGTATAAAGTACTGGAAGTATACCATCGACGGAACCAACATTTTCCTGGTTAATCTGATGGCCATCGTCATGTTCGTCATCTTTGACTGGATTGTCCTTGAAGGCATGCTTAAAATCGACAACTTCCTTACCTCGCCCGCCTTTTTGTTCGTCGCTGGCCTCTTCTCCATCATCCCTCTTGCTTACTTCATCGGTCAAGCCGTTGCTTCCATCTCTGCCCAGTCGTCGATGGGCTTCGGTGCTGCCATCAACGCATTCTTCTCAACCATTGTTGAGGTCTTCCTTTACTGCGTTGCTCTGCAGCAGGGCAAAGGCCAGCTGGTCGAAGGAAGCATTGTGGGGAGCATCTTTGCCGGTATTCTTTTCCTTCCGGGTCTCTCCATGTGCTGTGGCGCCATTAAGCGCAAGACACAGCGCTTCAACGCCAAATCAGCCGGTGTGACATCAACCATGCTGCTATTCGCCGTCATTGGCGCCTTTGGTCCGACTTTGTTCTATCAGATTTACGGAACCCACGAGCTTACCTGCCAGGATTGTATTAACTTTGATCATCCCAGGGGCTCAGTGAGAGATTGCCGTCGCTGTTATTTCTCGCAGACTCCGGCTATGAATGACCGGTTTTATCTGGAGGCGGTCCGTCCCTACTGCTATATCGCCGCTGGTCTGCTGTTCTTGTCATACATTATTGGCCTTTGGTTTACGCTTCGCACCCATGCCGCCGTTATCTGGAATACCGATGCGGATGAGAAGAAGCATGAGGATAACACAGCCCGCAATAGTGCTCGGCCTTCAGCGGCGCATACCTCGCTCGGTGAGACCACAGGTGCTGACGTTCGTGACTCGCATCTCTATAAGCGCATTCTCGGTCAATCCCTTCGCCAAGTTGGTCACCAGGGCCCCTCTGACGAGCAGCAACGGCCAGGCTCATCTATCTCAGGGACTATCAGGACTAACAGCACTCCCCATATGGTCCCTCCTAAATCAACTGGATATGGTGGTACCGACAGTCAACATTCGGCGACCATCCTCAACATTCCCGGCTTCACTGATGCCGAGAATAACAATCTAGTGCACCAGGTCGCTGAGATTGCAGCTACCGCCGCCACCGTAGCAGCCAGGAACTATTCGAGCCAAAGACGTACTTCGCACCTTGAAAGAGGCTCCTCGATAACAGGTCAGCAACCGCCTGCTCCTGCAAGCCGCCATGGCTTGACCCGTACTGCCACTTTCCCGGATCCCGAAGAGGTTGGCGGCGAGTCTACTACTGCCGCACACGCAGGAGGTGGTCACGATGCGCCCAACTGGAGCCGTCTCAAGAGTTCCATCATTCTCATGGGAGCCACTGTTCTCTACGCTATGATTGCCGAGATCCTAGTGGACACTGTGGATGTGGTTCTTGAGAGTTTCGAGATTGACGAGAAGTTCCTTGGCATCACGCTGTTTGCCCTTGTTCCCAACACCACTGAGTTTTTGGTAAGCTGTGATCCGACCTCTGTTGTATGGAAACACAATGCTAACTTGTACCTAATCAGAACGCCATCTCCTTTGCTATGAATGGCAACATCGCGCTCTCCATGGAGATCGGTTCAGCATATGCCCTGCAAGTCTGCCTGTTGCAGATTCCGGCACTCGTGCTGTTCTCCGCCATCTGTCCCGCAGATGTACCGGTCGCAGATATGGCACGCTATACGTTCAGCCTCCTCTTCCCGCAGTGGGATATGGTCACTGTCATCCTCTGTGTCTTCCTGTTGAGCTACATGTACGGCGAAGGGAAGAGCAACTACTTCAAGGGCAGCATCTTGCTTTTGAGCTACCTTGTCGTGGTGATCGGCTACTACTTCAGCGGCTACAGTACCGGTCTCGAAAAGTCCGACGCTGGAATCAGCCGCTTCGACACCCTTGGCGACGATGGACAGTACATGAGCTACAACTATAAGACCGTTGGGCGAGGTAGTGGTGGTGTGGCCTACTGAACGATCAGCAGACGCTGAAAGTCTATTTTTTTAATCCACGATCGAGAATACCCTGGAGAGCGTTGGTTGCGAACAAATCAAGCTCAGCACTGTTTTTGTTAAAGAGCCTTGAGGCAGTCCCTGGGCAGGCATGATTGTATAACGAACCCCAGACTGTTTTGTTTCTTCTATACACCGATTGCCCTACTCATTCAAGGGTAAAATTTCTGGGGAGTTCAACGGCATTCTTTGGGCATTGTTTGTCTATTCTTTTTTTTTTTTCCTTTTTTTTTCTTTGCCGCACTTTTCTTCCTTGCTTACCTATAAAAGCAACGACTCTCATGAAACACTGTTGGTTGCGTTCATTCATGTAGCATATGTTCAAAATTGCTTTCTTCAGCATGTGTGGGATTTCCTTTGGGCTAGGGCCCGATGGCGTACAAGACAATGATCCGCAGACAGAAAGGTGTTTGGAGACAAGACGGACAGGACGAGGGAGAAGTGTCGATGAGTGTGATGATGACGATACGAGGGATTATGAGATTGGGCCTGTCATTAACGGATGGGAAGAGAATAAATTTATATTTTACATCTTTCATTTTTCATGGTTCCACTTTTGATCCGAGTATGTTATGCGTTGGGCCGGAGGTTCGAGTTTGGACAAACTCTGAGTACTTCCCGTCTCCCACCAAGCTATTCATTCCCTGTCACTGATGATCATATTAGGCTCGAAAGATTGTTGCCAGAGAGATCGACGACAGCTGCCACTTTTTCATGGCTGAGTGCATGCTGGGATCGACGTTCTAACACGTTTAGGCAAAATCCACAGCCTACTATATACCGAAATGCTGTTTCGCGGATTCGCGTCAGGCGACCAGTCTGGTTAATGAACCCGGAGGTCTTGGCATTATCACATAAGATGTGTGTAAGTGTAACAGATTCTTTTTTTCGGGGATAGATGTATGTGCGAGAATAGATAGGGATGGAATCATGGAAGAAATGCTAATATGGACGAAACCTCTCAAATTGACAGATCTGATTGCATAACACAGGGCCGAAACAGGAAACTGAGGACAGGGAACAGCTCGGCAGGGTATGGTAAGGTATGGTAATAGCTCCTTTACTGTACGGGTTACACGAGCTATACCTACCGACCGAACAAGTTGATGAAGAACGAGAGCCCAGGTTTCCTTCCATCCATTCGGTTGCGTTCCAAAGAGATGACTAGCCTAGCTAGGCCTTGATGGCCATTTCACCCATTGGCATCGCCTTGAGCCCTGTGTTTCGTCATTTGTCAGTTTGCTGGTCTTGATTATGCTCCCTAAAGAGGGAGGGAAAACGGAAAGAAAAAGGGCAACGTACATCCATCAACAGGCTCAGGAGCCTGTTGCTTGATAGTGCAAGCATTATACTGCGCCGGAGTCTGCGCAGTCAGGCCAGCAGCCGGGCAGTCCTTGTTGAGGTTGCAGCCCTTATCCATGGCCTTTTGGAGGGAATCGCCCTTCCAGCCGAAGACGTAATCACCGTGAGCGGCGGCGCCACTGTTTTTGTTTTGACCATGTCAGCTCATCTCTTTTCCCTATACCAGTTCGACAGAAAGAGAGGGAAAGGTGCATGGGAAGGGAAAAGAAAATAGGGGACATACCCAAGGTTCATGCTATACATAAGCGCAGGACCTGAATCAGGCCAGATGCTCTTATCGTTGGCGAAGCTTGACACGTTCCACATGAGCTCGTACATGACCTGCGGCAGCTTGACGGGGTGCGAGGAAGGGCAGGAACCACCGCCGCTGGCGCCGGTTCCGCTGTAGGTGACGTGGGACTTGTGGTCGGGGGAGTCGAGGTTCTTGCCGTCCCAGCAGCTGTTTTATTATTGCCAGTTAGTTTATGTCCCAGTAAAACAGGACTGATTGGGGCTTGCTGTTGGATGTAAAGGCGGAGAAGGAAAGACTTACGTCGGGAAAATGATGGTCTGGCGGATCATCTTGCACTTGGTATCTTGAGGAATATCGACGGTGTCGGAACCGGTGCAAGGGGCACCGCCGACAAAGGTACCCTCGTTTGTCGAGGTCCAGCAGCGGTGGCAGATGTTGCCGGAGGAAACCTTCTTGGGGTCGGTGTTGGCTGCGTTACCGGCGAGCATACGGAAGCCCTGGGGTTCATGTCAGTAACTCACGGACCTTCATGGTCTGGAAAAGACTGAGACAAGGGCAGTAACTCACCGGCTTGAAAGCAGTAACCTTTCCACTAGGGATATAATACACATCAAGACCGCCTTTATTGATGAGTGCGCCCTGCGGACCGCCGTTGCCGACCTGAGGCACGCGGTGGTAGCTGCCGTTCTTGGCCTTGAAGAACATGACGGCCGTCCAGTAGTTGGACAGATCCTGGGCGAAGCTGCATGACGTGCAGGTCGACTGGCCGACCAAGTCGTGCGAGTCCGGTTCCATGGTCAGGTTGAACGAGTTACCGCCGACGATCTGGTGCAGATGGGGTGTGTAGCGGAGGCCCGGATTGACGAGGGGGTCGACGCGGTCGACGACCAGCTGCGAGCAGGCGAAGCGCAACATGTTTTGCGCGACGACACCGTTGGCTAGCAGCGCTAGGCCGGCGGCGAGGGTTGCCCACGACTGCATATTGTCTTTTCTTTCTTTCTTCAACAATACAAACTGAGAGTCGGTTCGGGTATGCCTGGCCGGTGATGAAGCGACTGTTGCTGATAGGTAACAGCTCTAGAAAGACGGGAGTGACTTGTTACTGCTGAGCACAAGATAGGTATCAAGACAGAAAAGAAGGGCAAAGAGGACGAGGGAGGATCGCGAGGTCGCACGACGCACTTATACATGAGCACCGATCGTCTTTTCCCCTTTCCTCTGATCCTGATCTCCCAATTTTTTCCACCAGCCGGCTTCCCTCCCTCAACACCCCAACACCGTGATCAAACCGTGGCCAGCCGCAACCAGGTTGGCAATGTTCCTACCACGACGTAGGATGATTTCAGGCTCGAACTACCGATGCTACAGAAACAAGGCCGAAGGTCTTCTTCTCATTTGGGTATAATATAAGTGATTGGCCTACAGACGTTCCAAACGTTATTGTAGCCACTGCCGGATTCGTCGACAAATGCCGTTCCTCCGGGGGACCAGGTATGTTTTGTTTTGTGATCTTCCTTTAGATGATTGATGGGGGTGGGTTGGGTTGGTTTGCCTCTCTTTATGGTCATGCCGTTATGTGGTGATGGAAAGTGGAAGCCAAGCCCAGTGATAGAAATGAAACATATGGAAGCAACCTGGACCATGAGACTGACCAGGGTCATTTGTGGTTGTCGAACTGACAGACAAGAAGGAAGAGGTCTGGAGCGGGTGAAATGAGCCTCCAACCGGATAAATAGTGGCCACGCCTGGTATATTGCTATACATCCTCGGTGCCACTAGCCACTCCAACGATTTCTGTCTGTCAAACTCAAGCAGGAAGGTCATGTCTGCTCATACGTTCCTTCCTTGGTGGGAAAGACAATCTACAGGGCGCCGCCTGTATTCACCATGTCACCACCACCATCATGTTCCCACCCCTGAAAGCATGTATCTCTAATCAACACAAAAGCGGCAGAGGCAGAAAGACGATGTCTTCGAAGTGACGTGCATGCAGACGCAACCAACTTTCCACACAGTTCGGAAAACGTGTAGATTGAAGCTCGCACAAAGCATTCATCATCTGGGGTGCTGGGGTTTCCCATGGGGTAAAGAACGCATGCCGTCCGTGGGCGTGGAGGTGTGGGAGAGACAAGCCGATTGGGTGGCTCCGTCCGTTGTCAACATTCAACCAGTATCTGCTGAGTCGCTTCGGGCCTTTCAGACATATGAGAAGTATGTATATACATATGATCTGGGCGGCAAGTGGCAAAACTGGAGTCGAGAGCGAGATGCTGGATTCTGGGCTTTGGACTTTGGACTTTGGACTGCTACAGTGGCATTGCTGAATGGTCGCCCCTTGGGCTTCAGGTGCTTCTCGCGCTTGGGTTTGTGGATAAAGTCAAACTTCTGACTGGGGTATCTTTCACATTGAGAGTTTGATATGAGATTACCTTGAGGTGGGCAATTGTTGTGTGTTGTTGTTGATGGGTGAGCGTCTTGTGTTGGTGCTGGAGGGTCAAGCAGGATACTAACCACAATCACTGCCATCAGTCCGCATTTGCCTCCAGATGAGATATTGATGAAGCTATCATCAAAATAACGCTGTTGATGGAGCATATGTAAAAATAGTTCCTTGGAGTCATTCCCGGCTGGTGTTGCTCGGATTCGCGGAAAAAGAAGACATTTTTGTACGCCGAGCGGGCTGCGAAGGCATATTGCCTTGACGACGATCTGGAAGCTGCTAGTCAGGCCTGAGTATTGTGTAGACGAATCTTCATGATACAGATTTCTTGGCTTCGCTCACCTCATGCTGACGCAGAGTCGTTGGTGTTGATATCAAGACTCCAGGATCCGGTTTTTAGATTGAATATGTGACTGCTCTTTGGTGTTGGGCCACCAGCCCAACGCAGCCCACCACCACCGGCCTTATCGACCGCTCCAAAGCTGCCAGTGGTGACTTTACCGGAGATATCCTCTTGTGGTTTAACCGGGTTTCTTGGTTGCATCCTCCAAGGGCGGACATCGAGGCTAGCAGCAAGTAGAAGAGGAACATGAACACATGGGGGTAGCAGACTTGGACGAGCGTGCGCAGTTACCGATCTAGATTGATTCTGGAAGACACTCTTCATTTTCAACTCAACCAGGTGCAATGGGAGAGAAGTGTTTCATTGAGGTCCGAGTTACCCGAAAGCTTTGCCAAACTGAAAGAGCACTAGACGATTATGTGAACCCCCCGCGCTTTCTTGCTGCCTGCAATCTTGATTATGCCTTCCTCGACGGAGATTCCTTGAGCGGGCCTTGACCTCGGCTATGGGGACACTCGCATGCAGCTGCCCCTTTTCACCCCATCAACTGCATCTTCCCTTGGCAGTGACTACAGGTACTTATGCTATGGGTAGGTAATACCTGAGGGAAGTCCACTCCTTCTCCTCCTAGACTAGATCAAGTGAAATGCCCCTCTCTTCATCATCAAAAATCCTTCCGCCCGATGTTTTGTGGGGTTGGAAGCCGCCATTGTTCTTTCCAGTTTTGCTGCCGAACAGACTAAATGGCAAGCGTATACAACATTGACGATCGCCCTTGCGATCTCTCGCCAGAGTGGCCATGTACCATGCTCCAACAACGATGCAGGTGAGAGCGATAGCAACGACGATGAACACCCAGAAGTACTTTGACACAACGGTCTGACCTCCCTCTGCATCCCACGAGAAGAAGTCTGTTGAGAATATCGCCTAGAAGGTGCAAGTTGCCGTCAGTTTCTTTGTCTCTTGCCTTTGTTCACAACTCATCGAACATTGGTGAGCCTTTGCAGGAGACACATGCGACGTACCGCAACGGTTGACATGGGCAAGAAGATCATTGTCAGCAGGGCAATCGATCGCATCTGCGAGCTGTCCTTTTTCATCTCCTCCGAAAGACCGGTGTTTGCGTGCGCTAGCTTGGTGTTAAGTCGTGACAGCCTCAGGTTCGTCTGGTTGTCCTGGAGTGAGAAGAAGCTCCAGACCTAGAAAGCGCAACGCGTTGTTCCATTAGCTCCATACACTCGGTGATGTTGTTGTTGTACTCTTCTATCCGTTACTCGTACCGTTTGCATCGTTAGCGACATATTGTCCTTGACGAGATGACAGTCATTGATCTTATCATCAAACTCGAAGATGATGTCCTGCAACCTTTCCCGAATCTGTTTCCCTGCTCTTTCTAGCCTTACATAGCTAGATGCGCCGGAAAGCTGCTGGGGTGGCCCCTGCTGCGTGTGGTTCTCCTCGCCATACAGAGTTGTAGCGCGGGAGATTGTTGTTGACCCAGGTGCTGATGATAAAGTTGCCGAAGGGATGCGTGTCAGACAGCGTGGAGAGAAGGTAAGTGAAGATGATTCCTTGACACTGGCTTCTACTAAATCCATCGCCGTCTCGAACTTCTTCAGCTGTCTCTTCAAGGCCATTATCAGGCTTACCAGTTCCCTGGACCTGTAAGTTGACTTCAACACGTCTGTCATTCTTTTCTTGTCCATGTCGAGGTCAAGGCCTCTGGTACCGCCGACGTTTTCAAGCTGGTTGTACTCATAGTTATTCCGAAGTTCGAAGTTATCCAAAAGATCCTCCACCTGGTCTACTAGGCGAACACGTTCAAGTTCGAAGAACAAGCCGGGCAGGAGTAATGGGTGGTTGTGCTTGAGATCACATGATCTGATTCTTCTTACTATGTCATCCTTCTGCTTTTCATTGCATCCGTAAAACACCGCAAGATCGAGGTCATTCTCAGTGAAGTACGTCGTTGACAAAGCGATGTCGTTTGGTAATGTCGACGAAGTACGCGCAGTACACGCTGTGGGAAGTGAGTTTAAGTTAGTCCACTTCGTTTGATATTTGTCCTTTGAGAACTGGTCGAACCATACTTATCATCGGTCTTCTCTCCTTACTTCCCTTGGGAAGATCGTCGTCGTCGGAGTAATGACGTTGAGCAGAGAAGTAGCAGGTCAATCTGCCAATTGTCCGGGTGATCCTAGGGTGGAGATGAAACTCATGCACGAGTTGTGAGAGGATATCATCGCTGTTGAAAGGGAGATAGGACACGGGTGACTGTGTGTTTGCGCCATCCTCTTCATCGTCATCGTCGAAGACTGGCTTGACCCTGTTGAAGATTCTGTTGCGTTATATTGTCAATAAGAGACGTCCATTGCTTTTAACCTTTCGTTGACAAGGGCTTACATGAAGGAAAAGAGGTGGAAGTATAGGAAAGTTCTCGTTTCCTTACACAGCACATATGCCAGAACCTGGATGTCCGGATGATGGGAGGAAATCCAGAACAGCCTGACCAAAATGGGACGTTAATCGATCCATCAAATAGCGAAGATCTCTTTGAATTGATGATTGATTCGGAAGGGTCATTTACGTTCTTGAACCAAGTCTCCCATTCTTCACTGGTGCTCAGTGTCTTGATGTCAAAGCTTGGATGACCCTGTTGTAAAGTGTGGCCGACAAGTTAGCAATAACTTCTGAATTTTCCACATTGATTTTAACCGTTCAAAAACTACTTGCTTCCTCATTCATGAGTTTCGTCACTATCGTCGCTTTCTCGTCTGGAAATTCGCAGGTGAAGTTGGAAAAGTCGCGGTTGGACCACTCGAGTGAAGTACGGTCATAGTCCATCTTCGCTACGATCAACTGTTTATTTCCGATCAATGACACACGAGGCTGTGAGAGGCGATGTTGAGCGAGAGGCGTGAAGTGGTGGTGCTTGTTTGCCTGAGGATCTTGTGACGATGGACAAACCCGACCAGGGTAGCGGCGCCTCCGGGTGGTTCTTAAACCGACTCGGTCAAAATGCTCGCCAAAAGAGCCGGACGTCTCACAATTCTGTGGCAAGTATTGCAGAATATGACCGTTTGAGGAGGCTGACTGTCAGGCACACTTTGAGGAAGTGAGGTGGTGTAATCCGACAGTCGATGTAACAACGACAATTCCACGGATGAGAGGAATGGTAGGGATTCCTCCTCTGCCGTCTTGTCTCTGCCTCGCCACGATATCCTACTCTGCACGTGTGCCCCATGCAAGCTGACTTGGGAGCTCTATAGCCAACCATTGGTTCTTCGTCAACCAGAAAATCGTGGCGAAGCACGACGTTGTGTACATCCCAAGAGAGTAGGATTCAGCTAGTAATGTTAGTGTCTATGCGGGGTCGTAACGCCATTTCACTATCACCGCCTTACTCCTTCGGTGGGATGCTTCTCGTTGCTTCTCATTTGCCCGGCGACTTGACTCTAACCGGGAATGTCTGTATTTTCTGAATGAGAGAAAATCTGCAGAGAACCGTCCGATTATACCGAGATGGTTTGTGTGACCTAAAATGTCTTCTTTCTCGGCCGTAGGCTTGATCACTTTTCTTCCTTTGCCCTACTGCTTGCCTTAGGCATCAGGGTTTTATTGAAGCCCTGCTTTTTGAATCCATCGACAACACTTACACTCGATACCCGACGACACATATCTCGATTCAGTCTGATTAAATGAACAGAAGATTTCTGGAGTTAGACCTACATTGAGAAAATTGATCTCTATCACCATCACCGTACACCTCACCAGCCGCCACGTCCGTACGCCATGCTTTCATCGTCGCCCGCGATCATTCATCAGGCTCCGCCCGCACTGGTCCAGCCACTCTTCTTGCATAACCATGTTCTGCGGAAGAAGTACCGAGATCCTCTCAAGCTCAAGCAGGCTCTAACCAAGACGTTCGGAGAAGGGAATTACAAGATCAAGGTACGTACCATGCCCTCTATAACCGATTGGTCGGGATTCCGATTTGAGCATTTACTTACGTGTGAGCCGGAACAGGTCAGAGCAGATCGGTGGATTGTGGCTATTCCTAGAGAAATGAGCAATGTTCGTTCAAAACTGCGAGATTACCGGATGGAATGACGAAGTCTTTGTGTTCTGCTGCTAACTAAGTGTGGCTTGCGCGTACAGAATGAAATAGACGAGCTTGAGAATTCGGTTTATTCGCACTACTAGCAGTTCGGGGGATATCAAAGCTTAACAGGCAATCTAGGAGGGGGCTGTAAGGAGAGAAAGCATCAAAAGCAAGCGAACTTGAGAAGAAAACAAAAACCGACCCATATACCAAGGCGTTCTGCCAAGAAACTAAGAGTATTGTAGGGCATGGTCCGTCCCATGGTGCCCATAGATGTAGGCAACAATGATGGGGAAAACGTATAAGAAAAATGAAGGAGAAGGTTTCCATATAGACTTTTCTCCAAATGATCGCCAGGCGCTTTACTTGGATGTGTGCAGCCAGTTGTTGCGATTTCGCCGTGGCGTGACCGAACTCCAGAACGCCTTACAGGTCACCCAGGCACTCATTATCTGAGGTTCTGTTAACCACAGATAGGAAGTGGAAAATGAATCGCCTTTCAAGATATCCCAGAGGTAGATTCTGGGCTGAGGCCTCACAAAAGTTGATCTGCACGGATTGTTAGAACGACGCCTGTGGTGATTGATCAATGGAAGACATAACTTCTGGACGGGGACTCACCACCGTAGTAGCTTTTATCGTCCTCACATGCCCTGCTGATCTTCCCGAGCTCTCTGACGAGCTTCGAAACCTTGATTCTGGCTGTTGGGTCCGGATTGAGCATCTGCTCAATGATGTCGAGGAACTGCTTGGTGTACTCAGATGCTTTCTTGTCTTCCTTGTCTTTCTTCAAATCTTCCATCCAGTCGCGCACCTGAGGCTTGATGATGGCTATGTCGCCTTCAATCTTGAAGAAGGTGTCCGTCTCAAATCCGTACACAGTGTCGTCGTCCATGCGTTTATTGGGAAAAACATTATAGACAGCGTCATAGTCCAAAACGTGCCATGTAACGAACTCAAGAAACGTGCATCCCAGCGAAAAAACATCGCATGCTCGAGAGATGCGGCCTCTAGGAAGATCAAATTCGGGTGCTCGATATGTTGCTGACCTCTCGAGAGCTTTGGGGTCGGCGTTGGACCGAGAATACTTGGTGTGAAGGCGGCCAAGTCCGAAGTCGGACAGCACGAGCGTGCGGTCAGCTTCAAAGTAGAGAACATTCTCAGCTTTGATATCGCCATGACGCCCGTATAATTCGCCTTTTTCATCCAAGATGTCGTAGTAACTCAGCGTGAGTTGTCTCTCATTGTGAACGCACAGCAGAGCGATGGCCAGTTGGTGGCATTGTTGGGCCATCCACGGAGCGAGGGCTAGGCGTTCCTGTTCATTTCTGGGCTGGTGCACTTTCCAGTACTTCCAGAGGTTTCCTTCCGCCCAGGGAAAAAGCAGGTAAAACACTTCATTTCCGCCATCCTGTTCAATCACAGAAAATGTGGTGAGAAGCTTGATGAGATGAGTCCCTTTCTGGGCCTTGACACTAATCAGGGAGGCCAATTCCTTGTCAAAGGCCTCTTTATCGGACGCGTGCAGCCTCTTGAGGGCGAAGGCCACTTCTTTGTTATTGCCGTTATCAGACTGTAATACGAGTTAGCACCTGCCCAAGGGAGGTAATGCCTAGAGATACGAGGGAGAAAATGGAAGCGCTTATTGCAACTCACTCCAAGATGACCAAAGTCAAAGTGACTTCGATCAATGATAATCCTCATTACCTCGCCAAACCCCCCGTGAAGATTGTCGTCCTGGTCCGTGTCAGATCTAGGATTGCCATTGTTGCTTGATTGCCCAGGTGAGTCAGCCCGCTCACTGAGAAAGCCCCTATCGGATGAAGGAGAGTCCGGAGCACGAGATGGCATGATTGTGTATGGCAGGACATCCTTCGGGCCTAGACAGTAGTGGACATGATTCTGTTCCCCGTCCGTGGGAAGCTTGAAGTAAACAGCATTGAGAGCGTAACTGGCTTGTTCGAAGGAGTGGAGCTGGCAATGAGAGAGGTCTTCTTCCTCCCAGCCGGGAAATTGGTGGAAGGAATGATTCTCGTTCTGACACTTGATCTCGCCAGATTCACTGTCAATGGACTTCAAAGGTAAACATCGATCCGACAGTCGAAGCTTTTCATTTCTGTCGCTTTCCTCCTTCCAGAGTTGGGGTAATAGTTTGTGATGCTTTGTAAGGATGAACAGAAGGAACACTTTCCAGCAACGGACGTCATAGAGAACCTTCTGACAAAAGCTCTGTTGATCATGCCCTGACATATTCTTCCATAACTGTTGAACCACCGCAAGGAGACGTCCAGGCGTGAATATGTCATGTAGGCAACCCCGAGGTATGAAATAGTTGCTTCCCTTTTTGATGATCCTTGCTTCAAGCTCGCGGCGAACGGTGCGGAATATCTCCAGCCCATCGTCGTGTGGTTTGATATCGGTGTTTCGTCTCTTGAATGGATGGTCGGTGTCGTAGTAACAGTTGCCACGATCGAAGCATATGTCGACATGCGGATCGGCTAGTCCGACAGCTTTAGCTCGTGGAGCCATCTTAGAGGCTGCTCAGTGGCGAGGTGTATGCGTTGTGTGTGTTATGCGCTGTGTGTGTCAACGTAACAGGCCTTATGTCGTGCAGGAGAGATGTCGGTGTTGGCCTAGGAACCTTCTAAGCTGACTGAGTTAAAGGAGGAGAAATGCTTGGGTATAACAAGGATACGCGAAGAGTGGCGCTAGATTAAAGGAAGGGAACGAGAAATCGTGTATATGGTGGAGGGAGGAAGACGAAGTTGAGAATGAATGATACTCCAACAAAAGCAACTAGTGACGAGGTGCTCAACCGACGTGGTGAAGTTTGTCAAGTGTATGAACGACAAGCACCGTTGTTCTGTTTCACTCCATTGTGCAATATGACAGACGCACGGTGGGTCTGGCAGGGTAAATAAGCAATGAGGAGTGAGATTCACGATGGCCCGCGGCCCATTTGAGCACTAAAAATGGTGGGTGCAATATGAGGAGGCTCTTCAAAATCCCTATGATAAGGCATCCAGATCTAGAGCCTTGTTGCTCAGCCATTCACATTTTGCGGCTGATTATTGACAGTTGGATGCCTTGGGACCTGTTAAGCGATCAGCAATGTGTATAGTCGGCATAAGGGGCCATTGATACACAACCGTGACTGCGCCCTCGGTGTGCGTTGGATGTGCTCATCAGGCTGCATGACCATGTTGTATCTTCCTATCCACATTCGAAAATGAAACGGGATGGGTGATGTTAGCAACGCGCGAGACAACTTCGAGTATAAGCCACCATTCGCCGGTCTTCTGGGTAGTATTGTGGCGCACAAAGCCTTATTCTGGCCTCTTTCACAATGCTGTGAATGGTGGCCTCTCTCCAGCCTTGCTTTGCTTTTGAAACCTAAATGACCCTTTTGCTGTGAATTAGTTGTTGTGTAACAGCCATCCCGCGTTAAGCCTCATTGCAAGTCTGCCTCGACCATTCATGAAGCCCTGACAGTCGACTAAAAGGGCACAATGCATTGGATGTCCCAGTGAGCCGTGGTAAGTGCCTTGAGACAACACCTATAATAAAGAGCCTTGAATGGCCACTTGTCTCTTCACTTTTCTTCCACACTTCGGAGCTAGCAGAGGTGAGGTGCTCGCCTCAAACATGAATGAGGATATGAGCCGCCGGTCCAATACTATCGGCGCGTTTTGAAGCCGTATTCCCACTAAGCTCAAATATCACCTTTTTGGGATCATCGTACTGAATCTCTGTGACGTGGAACTTCGAGGTTAGCACACTTGATGAGAAGCCGTTCTGGGAAGAGGGCAGCAATCTTTGACAACTCGTCAGACTCTTTGCTTGCAGAGGAAAGCCATACCTTATAAAGCCAGGCAGGATTGTGTGGGTTACACGCAGTTCTCCGAATGCCGTGCCACTTCGATGCGTGAGAGTGGCGCAAGATCGAGAATATATGGGTGGTGGCCCTCTATGCAGGTATTGCACTGCCTCACTGCCACCGCCATCCCAGTTTGTGGCCCCTATCAATCCCATACGAGGATCCGGCCTGCGCCCACGAATTTATTAGGAACGAGGCCTCCTCAGCCCTAGCAACTCCTTGTTTTGGGTGTGCAACGTGGTCAGGTGCAAGACCTCAAGTGGTTCAGCCACTCAATTGAATGCCGCAGAGCTTCACGTTGTCACACTCATCGTCCCCCTTGCCACGCAAACCCATGGTAAGAGCAGTTCTTCATCGATTTGCAAATCGACTTGACTGTCGCAAAGCTGATTCAGAGCAAGCAGAGCCTTGAACTTGACCCTGTAAAGCTCACCCACTCAATATAGACCAGGGCGTAAGACTATCCAATAATAGTAGCGTCGCAAATTAGCATGTTTTACAGCAGACCCATGTTCCACCTATTTGAGCTGGACACGGACCTACAAGGCGGAAAGGAACGGCATTGGGCTGACACGATGAAAGCTATTAATTCCATGATGGTCGTGTTGTTTACGGCGACAACATCTTGAGCCTCTACCCCTTCTAAGCCCTTGTTGTCTCTTACTCCTTTTAGCCTACCAAACTCTGCCACAACACACGCAGGCCACCTCAAACGAGCAGAATCTTTTCAAACGTACCTCTTAGTGCATTTGCGGCCAGACTCTAGTCCTGGGAAGAAATGGGTGTTGTTCTACAACGCAGAACGGGAAAGCTCTCGGCCGTCATGGGACAAGCAAAATATCTTGATGGCCCAGACGGAGTCGGCTCTATTGTCGAAATACCTGCTTGCGCTGTAACCGCCGACGAACTGAAAAAAGAGCTTCAAGGACTGCTAAAACCGTCACAATACACGATACAAGTGAGTCTTGGATTTCGGCTGCTCAAATGTCGGAAATTTATGTCTAACAGTATCGTCATATAAGCTCAGGAGAGACCGATACTCTGTCATGTTGCCACTTCATGGGAAGAAAGATATACTCAACTCCCTCCAGTGACGAGGGCAATGCTGCCCATCAGAGCCGGAAGCGACGCTTTTCCCCTCTCGCATTGTCGCTACGTTTGTTGATACAAACGCTGGATAGCACTCCTCTCGTTCAAGGCACAATTACGGAGTTATAGACGTCAGCACCCCACCGGAAGTTTCATTTGTATGGGTTTGAAATACCAGAATCCCATATCAGACTTGGAGTCTACATACCTAGTCCATGAGGGCGAGGAGGCAATTTTGCTGGATTATTCGTATGTTGTTGGGCTAGTGAGTGAGGAGGGAAGCGGCTTGAACTTCCTAAAGGAAAAATGTGACTGATGAGTGCAGTCACACTGGGGGATCAGTTATGGGTTTTGATGACTTCTCATTCTGGAAACTGTCATAACAGTCGGAAGTGCAAGCGGAGAAAATGACGTTAGAAGCACGACCAGCGCCTGGAGTTCAACCACTTGTCACTCATTAAGTCAATTGGCATATGTCTTCAATTCCCGCAAGGAATCCTGAAACTCCCGCTCAATGGCTCTCTGGTGCTTAGTTGAACGAGATGTGATGGAACACTCGAACGGCAAAGGACTTGAGTTGAACCCATCGGAAAATGCAAAGCTGAGGGTGAATCAAGATGCTAGTTTCACCTGCCATGATTGATGGTGGCAGAAACTCGGAAACAAATCCACTCACATGTCAACATCAATATCTTCACCGCGCTCATCCTTCGCTGGACCAACATTGAACCCCCAGAGTATGCGCGCGATGTTGATAGTCACCGAAGCATGTCCCAAATGCATGCCGGGACAAATACGGCGACCCCATCCGAAGGCACAGTGGCCAAATGGACCGGGATATTCACGTTGCCCGAGAAAACGTTCCGGCAAGAACGTATGCGGATCAGGGAAGTCATTCTCATTTAAGTGAACTGAACCAGTAGAAGACATATGTCAGCCGCTTTCGAAGAAAATCGGCAAATGGGAAAAGAGAGGACACAGGGAACTCACTACTCCAAAGAGGCGCAATAACCGTGCTCCCCTTCGGTATAAACATGCCCCTATACGTATCATCCGCGATGCTAGCGTGGGGTGTGCCCCCAAGAACGGCAACAGGTCGCCAACGCAGCGTTTCTGAAATGATAGCAGTAACATATGGAAGCGACGCCATGTCCTCAAAAGTTGGCAATCGGTCGCTGCCAACAACTCGATCCAACTCGGCTTGGGCTTTGGGAATAAAGTCTTGGCCGAATTTTTCGCAAGCGAGGAGGAAGCTGGCTAGAGAACCGGCGGACTGTTCAGCGCATGTTAGACTATGCCCTCAAGTGGTGGAGTGGAAGCTCGTACTCACCGTCTCAACTCCAGCACCAAACGGTGAACCAGCAGCATATGCAAGCTCAAGATCGTTCATGCCATGGTTCATCTGCTCGCTGATCAGGTATGTAGTGAAGCAATCAACTGCTACACCTCGCCTCATCTTGTCTTTGACCTCGTTCAATAGACCGAGATACATGTCAATATCCTTTTGCCGTTGCCTCAGCACTTCAGCCTTCCATGGCGCAAAGATGCTTGGAACATACTTGAGGGCCGGATATCGTTCCACAGCAAACTTGCCTGGGATACTATGCCATGGGTTACAGGTTAGAAGCTGCATTGACAAACTCGAGAGCTGGGGATAACATACTTGACCGACGTGAGGCGGTCCATAGCCTCAGCATTGGCCCGCACCACAGCATCAGTCCGAACATTCTCAACCCTTCTTCCATAGGTAACCGTCACGATAACCGAAGCAGCATAACGCTCAAGATGTGTCCGGAATTCCTTAGGGTTCGTGAGCAAGTCGTGCATCAGCACCTTGGATTCGAGATTTTGGATCGGCCGGTATGATTCACTCTGGCGCTGCATAAACCCGTTGTGTAAGGCCTTAAGCCAACGCCTCCAGAAGGCCGAGTAAGGGGCTATCAGACCACGCATACCTCCAGAAAGGAGCTCGCTGCCCATTATGAAGCGTGGACGGGATGAGTAGATGGCTCCACGTTTCTCAAGCAATTCCCAGGCTGCCTGGGCGGAACCCAATATGATGGTCGGGGTCGGTCCCATCTGGAGGTAGACGACATCGCCATACTCCTTGCTGAGCTCTTGGAACCAGAGCCATGGCTTTTGAATACCGGTCCTGATGGTCTTGGGTCCTGGAGGGGGTTGTGAACGGTGTGCATGAAGTGTCCATCGCTGCCGCAGCTGAGGTACTCACATGAGAGTTAGCGAGCTGTTTCTTGTGTCAAATATAGGTCTTCATCATACCGCTGGAAATGAGAGGCCAAAGAATGACAGTATGATGGCAAGGACCAAGCCAAGAATAATAGAACCAATCATCTTGGCGGTGACCTCTTCCTTTTGAACAAAGTCTTGGATCGTATGGTGCATTGGAGACGAATCATGGGAGCAGAAGTTGATCTTTCCCATGCCTTGCTTAAGAAAGGATTCTGGCAACCAATGTCGAATAATTTGCCGTCGGAGTCCTTTATCGAGTTGATGTGACCCGTCGACCTATACAACAGTTTTCCTTGCTTGATCGGTTCTCCTCACACTAGGCTGAATACAGTGTGTGGGAAGAGAGGTGCGTGAGGGGTTCGTTGTTAGCTGAAAGCCTCCCGCTCAGATGGCACCGGCAGTTTGGCAGATCTAACATCCCCAAGTCCGCATAAGATTGTTTCCATGTAACACTAAAATGCAACGGTAAAGATAACGTCCAGCGGGCTTACCGTCAAGTTATCATTTAATTAAATCAGAAGCTCTCTTCTCTCAGTTCCGGTTGTCACTTGATCCAGGAAGTATTTCCGAGAGGTGAAACATGGGAGGACAGATCACAGAAGCATGGCTCACAAAGCTATTCTTGACTTCCATCTTCCTGGGGCTCGGCGGTTTCCTCTACGGATTGGGAGTAGCTTGTATCAGGCTCGTACATGCAATTAGCTGACTCGAACTCTAATGACAGTGACCTCGGGAATCATCACTCCAAGTCTGGCTCTGAGCTCTTTTCTGGAATACTTCGACAATCCTGATGCGGCTCTCCGAGGAGCCATTGTGTCAGTTTACCAGGCAGACGGTAAGTCTTCACTTTTTCAGAAACTCGGGGGGTGATGGGGGCACCGTGAGCTGATTTTAAGCCAACTATAGCATGGCTTGGAAGTGCTTCTGTGGGTATAACCAGCGACAGGCTTGGAAGACGGAAAGCGATTGCGTTTGGGTGCACCTGTGGGGCCCTCGGGGGTGCCCTGATGACCGGCGCAGCACATGTTTCTATGCTCATCATCGGCCGCATGCTCGTTGGATATGCTGTCGGTACAATCACAGGGGTCGCACCGGTCTTTGGAGCAGAGATTGCAAAGGTGAGTACGGTCTTCTATGGTGAGTCATGCGAGACTTTTGCTCACAAACTCTTCACCAGACCCATGAGAGGGCAAGAATAAACGCAGTTACCCAGATGAGTAAAGCCGTCCGATTCCCAAACAGGTGGTTGAGACTTACTGATTTTCTTTCTCGCTGCAGTGTGCGCCTGGGGCTTTTTTGTCGCCCTGTGGACGGGAGTAGGGGAAGGCAAGTGGCATAACCCCAATCAGTGGAGGGCCGGCTTTGCTATCCAGAGCATTCCAGCCCTCGCTCTTGGGGTAGGAGTCCTCTTCATCAGTGAGTCGCCAAGATGGTTGTGCCTGAAGGGCCGTCACGAAGAAGCCGAGAAGGCCTTTCGCAGTTACCATCACAACGGATCCAATGATGAGTGGTGCAAAGAAGAGTTCAGGCGTATGCAAGCCAACATTGCACTCGAGCTACAGGCCCGGGGTGATTTTCCTGGGCAGAGCTCCTCAAGACACCGGCCTTCAGAAAGTCTCTTTTTGTCGGATCTTTTGTCTGGGTGGCCGCGATTCTGAGTGGCATCAGCTTCATCCAGTATTTTCAACCGGCCATCTATGCAACACTGCAGTACAATCAGGGTCAGCAGCTTCTCATAAGCGGATTATATGGATCGGTGGCTCCGGTGGCGTGCCTGGCGTCCCTAGTGTTCGTGGATCGCATCGGTCGAAAGAAGATCCTGGTCTCCAGCGCTTCGCTCTTGTCACTCTGCTACCTTATTATCACCATCACCGCCGCTGTCTTTCCGGCTCGACCAGGGCTACCAACAATTGAGGCAGCTCAGCGCGGACTCATCGCCTGCATCTTTGTTGTATCGGCCAACTACTCAGCTCTTCTGGGCCCAATGACTTGGATCATTCCGTAGGTATAGTCCTGCCCTATGGTGATCGTGCATGGCTGACCTGAAGTGTGTTTAGGCCTGAGGTCTTCACCACTGAATTGAGAGGGAAGGCAAATGCTGTAGCCCAGGTCCTGCATTATTCCACCAGCTTGATTATAACTCAGTGTTCGCCCATTGCGTTGGCTGCAGTAGGCTGGAAGTATTACGTATGAACAGAGTTTTGACAGCAAGGAGACTGATGACCTGGCTGACGGCACGCTAGATTTTCTTTATCCTCAACAACGCGACGTGCACAATTGTGTTTGCCATCACGTGTCCCGAAACAAGAGGTAAGGGAAGATACCTTGGTTTTTGATGTTGGTAGACATAGCTGACCACAAGCTCTTCTTCCTCGGCACAGGCAAATCGCTTGAAGACATGAGCGAGATATTTGGCGACATCAAGCGAAGGACAGAACCAGAGCTCGGCAACGCCCGTACAAATCTGTCGGACAAGAAAGATAGCAGAATCAGCGAGTATGCAATCGAGAAAACGAGTCGAAGTAAGAGACTGAGATCCCGTCCACCTTGGGAACCATAATTGGGCTTCTCGGCATACGCGTGGCGCAGTATTGTTCGAGTGATGTTTGCCGAGCCCTGGTACGGCTATACTGCAAGCGGGATATGGCGGGACATATAGGGGCGAACACTCTAGGAGGATGGATGATTAGCATGTGCTTATTATACACCCATGCGGGTATAGATGAGGCTAGGGGAGGGCATGGAAGACAGATAGTACCTTGACCCAGCAACTCGAGGCCTCAATTCTGGGCGCTGCCATATCGTTGGATAATCATCGCCGATATCGTGAAAATGTCAAGGGATGAGGATCTTGCCTTTTTGGCGGTTTGCTGACCATGTTCAGATGGATTGGAGCGGCCGCTTGTGGCTGTTGGAATGTTGTGTTCTCTGTCGAGACGGAAGTCTAGAATACCAGAATACCTACCGTAGGCAGTCGATGTTTTTGGTTGGAACAGTCGAGTGGGTGACACGGGAGCGGCAATGCGTGACATGGTCGAGCGGCCTGGACCGCGCCTGCCAGAATCAAGATGTTCAAAGTGCATGTAAGTGTTAGTGCAGTGCCCCAGATGTGGGGTAAATTGTGCCAAAACAATGTAATAAGCTGTGGGGAAGCGGAGCGTGTGGAAAGAGTAAGGTACTGTACTAACTGTAATCAGATTCCATAAACACAAGAGCGACCCGCCAAGGTCCCCGCTCCCTGCTCCTCTGATCTTCAGCCTGTCTAACACAACATCATCTATCTTACCGCATCCGCCAACAAAATATGACTCTAAACCATGGTAGAGATTATGGTATTCTTGTGTGACGCTTTTCCTCCGATGGAATGAGCAACTTCTTCACTTATACACCCATGCTGGTCAAGAGGCCTGATGTTACGGTACAAGCCGTCCGTCGGTTTGTTTGCTCGCGTTGATGAATGCTACGGTCATTTTCAATATCGAGACTGAATCCCCGCGCCAAGTATGTGAAGGATCACTGATGGGGTCCAGTTGGCAATCTGTCGTGGTATTCTCCGTAGCGAAGGATTGCCAACCGAAGAAATGGCTCCATATACCTGCTTGTTTGTTTGCTCTCGTGCATCAAGCGAGGTGTATTGGGGGCCCTTGGCTGGGGGCCAGCCCGCAGAGAGCCTTAGACGGGACGATGATCTTGTAAGCAAAACTCGAGAAATACGCCTATATAACTCACTACCTGTCTTGTTCATAAGTAGCGTCTGTTCCCTTTTCTCATCGCCTTCAGTTTCATGTTTTTTCACTCTCAGCAACGGAGTCCACACTGAACAGATCAATATTCGTCAGTAACTTTCGGCCATACCCGACTCGCCTCTTCAACAAGACCCAAAAGCAACCATGTCCACCCACAGTCTCCGCGCTCTTGTCCAGTTGGCTCTGGTTGGGCTCTCAACCGCCGCCGCCATTGCCTCTTCTGCCATCACAGGCTTCACAGCCATCCCGGATGGCCTCGTTGCTCGCGAGGTCCAGCTCCCCGATGGCAGCACCATAACCATTGCCGAAAACCCCAACATCGTCTTCACCCCAGAGTCTCCCAACGACTCCAAAGACACAAAGCACAAGCGAGTGGACTGGCAAGAATACAGCCTCAGCGACGGCGTACAAGACTTCTGCTGGGACGAGAGCAGGCCCCAATTCAGCTACGGTACCTCCGCACCCTTGGCAGCCGACTGCCAAAAGATTGTCGATTACTATTCCGGCGTCAGGAAGGCCGGCGTCAGGGGCAAATGGACACTGTATCCTTCCGACTTGGCAAACGGAAAGGTTGTCCCACTGGTGAAGGTCGATGGCTGCCAATTCACACTCACGCTCTCAGGTAAAATGGGGCAAAAGGTGTTTTGGGGGGACAATGACTTGGTATACTATGTCGATAATCAACTCAAGTATGCGAAGGATGGGCGTGTGCAGGCGGAGGACTACACGGCATGCTATGTTGTGGACGAGACGAAGTATGTCCAGTTGAAATGGAGGTTGGTGAAAGCCTAGTAGATCACAGCCACGTATGTAGCGGGAAGTTGTTGGTCAGAGAGATAACATCAAGATCGAAAGGAGAGGGGTGTCGGATTTGCATGGTGAGCAAGTGCTTAGCAATCAGGCACAAAAATGTGAAAGGTGTGTCGATATTTTACTTGATATTGTAGTAAAAACCGATGTCTGAAGTAGCGAAAAGACGAAAAAGAGAATGAGTTTCTTGAACTGGAAGGAGGGGGCACTCCATGTATGTATCTATCGGTTATCCTTATAGCGCAGGCTTATCCTTACCGGGTCTGTTCGTTGAACGGAAGGAGCAACGGGAAGGCGGGGTTGGTCTGTGCACGGAAACAGCGCAATGTAAGCTGACACCGCATCGCTCTCTCCTCTTCAACTTGACCACAACACAATCCCACAGAAAAAATGACACCTCTCAATCCGACCATGTTTTCTCTTCTTTGAACATCTGACTCTTTATCACCCAAAATGTTATCCCAGTCACTTGACTCAACATCTGAGACCTTGACTTCCATCCGCATTTCCTATGGGCTGGGTGTCGTCACCGACCACCGGCGATGACTGCCCCTCAACACCCAAGAGCATCCATCAGTGCCCATAATGAACCTTGAACATCCTGTCATCAGAAAGTCGAATGACCCCCTTGATACTGTTGCTGTAACAGATCCACTCCGCTACTATTCAAGCCCCAGTCGAAATTGGAAGCATACATCTCTCTCATGGGCATTTGAGCATCGTCGGGGTTGGCCAGCGCCATGTGTCCGGGCTGTTGTTGATAAGCCGAATGCTGCGGCTGTGGCGACGATCCGAACACTCCCCCGATGTTGACTCGATGGATATTGTTCAATCCGTTCATGCCCTGGGCCGGAGGACAATGATTCACCATCTCGATCCCTGGATCTACCAGATCCTGTCGACCATGGTGAAACGCGGTGACTTGAGCTGGCTGGTTCGAGTTGCCGACCCCATTTCCATAAACGTCAAAACCGGCTTGAAGGCTGACGGGTGTTCTCGGATTGACTGGACTCCGAGTTGCGAAAAAATCAGGCTGTCGATCCTGGCGAAGACCCAAGGGCGATGCGATCACACCGGCACCCGTCTGCGCGAACTGTACCTGGCCCGACTGCACGTTCCCCGAACCAGTCAAGCCGGGAGCCGCCCTCGTCGCCCTCGTCGCCCTCGTCGCCATCAGCTCCGCCTGACCTACATTCGCCCATGACTTAGCGCTGTTGATAGTTTCGAGAGAAGAAGCTAGGCTGCCTCCATAGCCGTCGCCGGTGGTGGCCTGTTTCTTGACAATCGGCCTGGGAACCGTAAGTTGATCCTGTCCTCGGCCCTGTCTCTGCATTGCCGGGCTTATTAGGCTTGCCGGATTCGGATTCTCGGCCTTCGGGTTACGTTTACCACTCTTCCAGCGGCGGACCAGGTTCATCGGCTGGCGGCGGGAGTTTTGGAAGACTTGGCCAACATGGCCGTAGAAAATGTCAGCAAGTTGCTCCATGTGTTGTCGATCGGACCGTTGGCTTTCCGAAAGACTCAGTTCTCCGTTCAAGGTCAGGATTTCTATGAGCTGTGGGCGAGCGTTCTTCAAATCTCCGTAGAACTCTTCCCGCTCGACTGGGGCCACAAAATCTACATTCCCGGTATCAGCAAAGCAGTTCGCAACAAGATATATATACCTAGCGACAGAAGGGCATGGACAAACACTCACCAGGTTCTGGTACGACATCGTCTGAAGGGAACAATATGCGCCAGAGACTTTCCCAGTTGTCAATCTTGGCATTTGCCTTCCGGTTATTAAGCCAGTATTCAACTCGACCGGTGATACCATCCTCCGGATTGCCGCTCGCGGATCCTTCCTGTGGGCTGCAGATTCTGTCATTAGGCACTGCAATGTGCGCATCCAATGCTTCACGAGACTGCATTTCCTCTTTACATCTAGGGCAGTGGTAGACAGAGCCCGTCTTCTGTTTATGGAGGTCCTTGATATGGCGCCTAGTTAGGCAGGAGGTTAGCACTTCATGTCAACCATCAAAGACAGGCGTGAGACCTACTTCAGATGAGTCATATCGTCGAAGGGCCGGACAGCACATTGTTGATGGTCGCGGATATTGAATTTCAAGGGGTTTCTCTTGCGGAAGGGACAGCTCAATCCTTGTCCCTCCGACTCGGTCGTCATTCTCGCTCTCTTATTTCCGCCATCATTATTGCCCCCACCAAAGCCTCGATCTCCGGAACTAAAGCCGTCTTCAGGTCTCCGGCTGGGGTACCCATTACCGTCGTCGTTCGGCCTCTTCTGTGACCCATTGTTCGCTCCGCCACAGCGGCCCATTCCAGAATTTGAGCCGCTTCCTTCTTGCCGGGCCGGCGCAAGGTGACCCGCTCCGCGAGGCAGATCTTGGATGCAAATGGCGGAGTTGAACAGACTGTCATCCGGAAGAATCCTCGACAGCTCATCCAGACAGTAGCTGACGGTGTTGTACGCGTCGACCGCCGCATCGGTATGCGCAATGTCATCGTACTCTGTGTCAAATGCTTGCCTGAGAATTTGTTCACAGACGTCTTGGATGAGCCCCGAGTCTAAGATGGGACTCTGGGACGTCTCCATGTCCTCCGGCTCATCGGGGCCAGGGGTCATAATCAACGGAGAAAGCCCTCCGGACGGTGACCCGTTCCCGGTCGTGGGTGTATCGACATCTTGCGGAACTAATTCTTCTCTCGTATCTTCCTGCATGTCTCCGTCGGCCCCTTCATCGCTTTGCATCCCTTTGAGGTCTGGCAATTCGAGATTGCGGGATGGCTCTGGATTTGGTGCCATTGAACCGGAATCCTCCTTCAGGCGGACCGGCAAGACAACCCTCGAATCGCCTGCGGACTCTGACCGTAACCCTGCGGTGATCTGACTGACAACCGGCTTTTCAGGATGCGTGGCGTCGGAAGAAGGGTCGGCCTGGAACAGCACATGTTTGCTCATATTGTCTTTCCTTTTGAACTCGGGCAGATGTCGCATTGGGAGTTGCAAATTCTTTATAAGCTTTGCCCTTTCCCGGAATGTTCGTCTCGGTTTCAAGCTCGGCGAGAACATGTGCTTCGGCAACGATGAATCTTCAGCAATGTAGTTCGTCGGTCCTGTCGTCAGATCCACCGGATTATTTTCCAACCCTGCTTCCGGTCTCATATGTATCCCAGCATGAAATGCCATTGGACCGGTGGGCCACAACGGGATATTCCACCCACGAGGGCGATGAAGAATGTTGAGAAAGGCTCGCTGCTCCGAAAAAGGCAGTGGTCGGACTGAAGTGGTCTGGCTCAGTAGTGTCGGTCATGGCTGTTGAGGCTTGAGAGAAGATTGAGAAAGTTGTATCTGAGCGTCGTGGTGCAAATGATCTGTTCTCCCACCCGGTCTCCTCGTGGGTGTTGTTCTTGATGTCGTCAAATCCCACTCGCTTGTTGAGTTGGCCTTGAAGATACGGGTCTTGGGCCGGCTTGCTTGTTACTGCAGGTTCTCGAGAGGGACTGCACTTAAATGGTGGTTGATGCAGTGGCTCCCCTTGCCCAGTTACCGAGGGCTCTTTTAAGAGGGAAGTCATGTTGATGGATGATGGCTGTGTTCTGAATCTGCCGACGACGATATCGATTCCTGTTATGGTCAGGTGGACACTAGGCTACGCGGCCCGTCGTTTTCGGACTGGGAGATAAACGTGTGCTTTTTTAAGTTTCGCCTGCTAAGAGCTATGCTTGCTAGGCTTTATGTTGGTTATCTAGATCATACTCGCCCGAGTGTGCGCGAACCACAAGGCGCCTTCTCTTAACTGCACACTGGAAAAGAATCAGACCAGTCACTTCGAAGCGACCAGTTGGACATGGTCTCTCTGACCGTGGACACAGACGACCCTGTGAGAGGCGGATCGACCCGGGCACATCACCAGAACACAGCCGAATGCATAAAAGTCGGGTTTGCGAAGACTTCATGTAATAGCGTTTGAACATTTAACAGTGGTCGAGATATTACAGCACATTGGAGGCCTTACAGCTCAGACCCCTGAGCTGTGGCGGTGCAGCACAAGACCGGAGGTTCACCGAACTTTTTCGGGGCTGCTGAACATCGCAACGGTCTGACGGGTTTAAGCTTTGTTGTTTAAACTACCATTTCACGGTGCTACAACCACACTTTGTGTATGACCCCGTGACATATTTGACGTGAGAACTGACAGGACTTGCCTAACTTCTTGCTTTCAAGACGAGGCTCCGGGCTAACTCTGGGCTGCTGTCTACACTTGGCCTGGAGTCTTCCCAAGCCACCAAACAATGAAACCGCCTGTCCTACGCTACGCTTAAAGGGCTGACTTGATTCTGGGAGGCTGTCAGCAGGAACCAATTGCAATCACAGGACGGCACAAATGCATCGTTTCAGCCTCCAATTAGCCCCATTAGTCCGCTGTAAGCCTATCAGTATGCCTCAGACCGCCCAACGTCAGAGTCCTAGATGATTTCATCACCCATGACGCAGAGCTTTTTTTTTTGCTATTAAGATGGTTCCAATCTCCCAGACGCGTTCCCGGCATCAAGTCCTTTCTGACCGATGTATATGCTAGGACTCGGACCGATCTCGGACACTGGAGGTAAGGCCATCCTTGAACGTTGGTTGCGTATCCGTCCATACTGTCTTGCGCCAACTGGCAGGCCAAGCGCCTCCTACGACTTCATCTCATCAGTCTTTACCAATTCATACAGTCAGGACGACCGGCCTGGCTCTCACTTTCCTCTTAGCAGGGGTGGCATGCACCAGTCCTCGATTTCACTGCACATTTTTTCTTCTATCCCATCATCTTTGTCACATATCACATCCTACCCGCATCGGTTCTCTGTTACAGGGGCGGAAGGGTGCCTGGGGCTGTCTACTAGGCATCGTGCGAAGCTTCGCCCTGGATGCATTCTCCCATGTCACACATGCCGAATGTCGATGGCTTTCGGTGACTTAGTTCACCGACGAATCAGTCCGGTTCAATTCAGTCAACTTGCTTTCAACCAAGACGGTCTCAATCCGTTCGGTTTGGTTCTCTTCAGTTGGGTTGTTATTACTGGCAACTTGCCCACCACAGGCGTTGCTACCGGCTTAGGGCCAGATCGGTGCGAGTATTCTGCCTCATGACCTCAAGCGGTCATAGAGACTGGAAAGAAGCCGGCAACTTGCCAAAAGTTCTACGGCTTTCGGGTCCTATATGGCGACTCTTGGATGATGAAAGCAAAGGTGCAGAGGAATATAAAAAGTGTTGTTTCTCTTGCGACCTTGAAACTCAGTCTTTTCTTTTCATCTTCAAAGTAGACCTAAACAGTAAACACACCATATCAGTTCACTTTACGAATCGTATCATTTTTGCCCGCCTAAACCCACTGTTTGAATACCGTACATAAAACAGCAAAAGCCTTAATATCCATTATGAGCACATATCACAGCGGCGGTGCTGGCAACACTGGTAGCGGAAACCGTAGCTCACGCGGCGCGGTCGGCTCCACATCGGGATCCGGGGGCCCACCCGCACCGGGCCAAGCTCCGAGGTGGGACTTGTTTCTCTTTTTTCTACCTTTCCAAGATTAGGTTTCACCACTTCATTCCTTCGGCAGTGGACAATGTTGTCATGGGATTGTACCATAAGAAAAAATTATTCCATATTTGAACTCAGAGCCGAAGCAGTTAACTAACGCATTTCAGAAACAGAAGAAGAGAACCCGGCGCGATGATGGACAGATACCTCCACGACACTACCAATCAAGTTTCGGATCGGTTTTCGGGCTATCAGGATCGAATCAGCGACGACCGTCAAAGGGCGGAAGTGTTGCAGGACTTGGAAAGGCAGAAATTGGAGGTAGAGAGGTTGGCAAGGATTGCGAGAGGGAATTAAAAGGAGGCACCCTAGAACTGAGTGCATCTTTGTACGATATACGTTGTTGAAGCGTTGGAAAGGAGAAGCGGTGGTGGTCTTGTTTGTTGCATCTTGAATTTGAGTGACAGTTCAGACTTTCGCAAGTTGGAAGCTCCAGCAAGTTGCGAGCTTCCAAGTCCCTTCAACAGTCACAACTAACAACCAGCTCAGCTCAAGCTCCGACAGCTGGCAGAACACTGCGCCAGCTGTAACGTCGCAGTGTGAAAGCTTGGCACGGCTGTGACGAGTCTGGAGTGTGGCAGCGAGGGTCACGGACCACAACATCAGCGGCAGATTGGCAAAGGCTCACCAACGCTCCGAATCACACTATCTGAGCAACATTTCGAGACACTCTGCAACACCACGCCAGCCTCCGGAAAGTGTGCAAACTTACTGGGAAGATGCTCAGTCCTTCATCATCAAAGGCTTTGACGGCTTTCAGTCCGCCCTAACCGGCTGGGTGGCCGGCTTGGACAGTGCCCGACGCGGATCTCTGCATGGCGTCAACGCTGCTCTCAACCTTGGGCAACAGGTATGCGACTTTCCCTTGCACCACACATGCTTTCCTGGAGAGCTTTGTTCTGGCCTCATTGGAGAGCACTCGGCATTCTCTGCAAGCCCATGTCATCCATGGCACTTATGAGGCTGACTTGAGGGTTGGACTTCTCTCTCGAGATGGACCTCACTGGGCGTCATGGCTGGCTTGAGGCCTTGGCCTTTTTGCTGGAGCTCGTGATATTGCCAAGCCTTGGAGCTCTCCCAGAATTGCACAAGTGGTCGGCTTGGGTCGCCGTACCCAAGGTCACCCCGAGGTACCCTCTGCGAAAAAAAAAAATCAGCAACAGCGACGACAAATCAGCACACACGGCAGGAGCATGGGAGCTGGCTGTTAGCTCGAGCTTCCCTTGGCCTGGAAAATCAGCATCTTCCCAACTGTACGAGCGCAAGTCTCAGGGCGCGGTTGCACTCAAGCACGGCGGATAATCACCTGGAAAGGACACAACAACAAAGGGTTCCATCAGTGGCATGCATCTTCGGGCCTTCTGAATTTTCGAGTGTCTCCCGGCACCAAACTTCAACACCAAACCTCGTCGCGATCATCCTTCCGGCCAGAACACCACTTTTCTATCCGCAAACCCCGCTTCATCCACATCCACCAGTTCCACGCAAATCCCGCGCCGTCGCCCCGTCCATATCACCATCGAGCATCGTCACGCCTACCGATTTTATCCTTGACACCACGTCCATCCGTCCTCCTCGCGCTTATCCATCCACCCACCCCGTTCCATATCCTCAACAAAACAAACACAATGGCTGGCGGAAAGGGCAAGTCGTCTGGCGGCAAGAGCTCGGGTGGTAAGACCTCGGGTGTCGAGGGTCCCAAGAAGCAGCAGAGCCACTCTGCTCGCGCTGGTCTTCAGGTACGTTTTTGTTGTTGACGAGCTTCATGGCTCTATTCGCTTTCAATTCCTGTCCCGATCTGCAACCATCGAACGTCTCCTCGTCAACCAACTTTTTTCGCTCGCATCCGTCATCCCTGTCGTCAGATGTCTATGGAATCACGCCGATACACCATAACGCGTCCACCGAGCCCCCTACATTTCCGAACAACACCATATCGCCAACCTACCAACAACACAACCTCGTTGCCTTATCATGTCGGTTGCACGCAATCTCACTGGTGCCTAAAAACAATGCGCCCCGTCTGCGACACTGTTTCGGCTTGATATGGACGCGTTGTTCTGTACACCCTTGTCTCGCCCTGGCCCCGCACGCACTCTCGAATGGGGTCTCCAACCCTTGATTTGTAGCTCGGACAACGGGGATGCAGCTGCGATATCCAATTCTTGCTTTCTGGGGTTTTCGGCCTGTCTGATGCGCCGTACTGACTTTGACTCTACGTAGTTTCCTTGCGGTCGTGTCAAGCGTTTCCTGAAGCAGAACACCCAGAACAAGATGCGCGTTGGTGCCAAGGCTGCCGTCTATGTTACTGCCGTGCTGGAATATCTGACTGCTGAAGTCCTCGAACTTGCGGGCGTAAGTCATCCATACCCATCCACAGTCCCCATTGCGCGGCGTCGAAAAAGTCCCCATCATCCTGGTTCTACTGGTCGCATGGCTAATTCGCTTGTTTTCTTGTACAGAACGCCGCCAAGGACCTCAAGGTCAAGCGTATTACTCCCCGCCATCTCCAGCTCGCCATCCGTGGTGATGAGGAGCTCGATACCCTGATTCGCGCCACTATCGCCTTTGGTGGTGTCCTCCCCCACATCAACCGCGCCCTGCTGCTCAAGGTGGAGCAGAAGAAGAAGGCCAAGGCTCAGGAGGCTTAAGGAGATGGCTGTACCGAAAACTCAACGTCGCGCACGTTTCGGATACTGTCTTGTATCTTCTTAGCCCTACTGCGAGCTGACGGGCAGGACAGCGGCCGATTTTCTTGAAGGGATAGACGCGGGGTGATACCGGGGAACTGGCGATTGTCTTCATTTTACTCAACCTGACGCCGTTGTTTTGTTGGGTATTTTCTTCCTATTATTTTTGTCGGAATACGCACCCGGGATTGGGACCCACCGAATCATGGCTGGAAAAAGTCGGGCATTCCCGGTCTCTACGGTGGTAACAAGCACAGCACATGCACTACGGCGAACTTCCCTTGCGACACTTCCAACTGGGTTGTGCGAACACACGAAAAGCGAGGCGTTCTTTGTCATTCAGCCATGGACGTCGCCTGGGAAGTCAGACGGGTAGGGAGACATATGCGCTACGTGGTGTTGTCTTGGAGTGCTCGCACCACACACTCGGAACAGCGAGCAAATCTCCCCTCATCACGGCGTGGCGTGCGGCAGCAGCTCTTTTACGATATCTGTAACAACATGAGTCTCCTTCATCGTTTCTTTTATGGTACGACTTGGGCCACGAGGGCTTAGCGAGGAAAACATCGGGACGCGTTAAATGAACGTGTTGGCTGGTACTGGTGACGGTAGTAGCGGGTCAAAAGGCAGCCAGAGCCTGCAAAATTTGCGATACCAATTATTATTCTGCCCTCTCTACAATACGGGAACTAAGCCCTTATTGGTGGTGACTCACAGTGTCCGGGCTTACAAGTTGCTGTTCACCAAAACTGATAACGAATTTCGATTATCACATGAGACGGAGAAGCTCAAGCTTGAGTATATCCGAATTTTGTTGTCAATCTGGAAGCTAACTGATGAATCCTCTTAAGGAATGCCTCTATGCCCTACCCAGCCATGAATGCGGAGCAGGTGATGATAATAAACCTTATCTACCACTCAGCGTTTCAAAATCCGGGCCTCCCATCCCCTCCCCAGACACTCCGTTTTGGTTACCATGCTCACATAACCATTTCATCAATCTCCATAGGGCCAAAATCAATCAACGAGGTAACGACTCGTATGAGCTCATACTGGCGTTTCCTAGAGGGAGACAGCCTCCAGCCAAGGGCGACACCGGAGAAGCGGGGATGGTCTCCGGATCGTTGCTCTTCAACAGCTTCGCGGGATCAATGGTCTTGTCGTCTGCGACCACGGGGATGTAACAATCCTGTCAAGAACTGCAACCGTCCACCCTAGAGAAGGGCTCAAGCATGGCGATCGTGAGGTTACCGGTGTTATCATCCTCCGGACCCTCTTGCGTTCCTTGTGACATTGTTGTTGCTAGCATGGTATCCATCCACTCGGACTCGTTGACAAGCAACCCTTCATCCTCTGAACTCGACGAGTCTGAAGAAGAGGAGCTACTGCTACCACCAGCAGAAGAGGTCGACGATGACGATGAAGAGGAAGAGGAAGAGTCGCCATCCTTGTCAGTTTGAACATCCTTCATCTCAACGTCCTCCTTCTCCTCTTCCTCGACACACTCAGCCACCGGCTCCAACCCCCATTCCCACTTCTTCTTCCCACCACTCGCACTCCCATTTCCACTTCCACTTCCACTTCCACTTCCCCCATGTCCATGTCCCCGTCCCTTTCGTCCAGCACCCCTCTGCCCACCCATCCTCCTCTCCCGTTTCTCTTGTCCAGCTCGACTCCTCCTAGCCCCCAACGCTCGCTTCATGTTCTCCCTTTCTGTCTCCCTTTCTTTCCGCCGTCTAGCCTCGATGGCGTCTTTTTCACGGTCATCTACCCATACAAGTTTCTTACCCTTTCTATCGATCTTGGCACGGTCTTCCTCGCACGCAGTGATGACAGCCTGGCGACACTCGGATGGGTAGTCGCAATGTGACCAGCAGTTGTGGGTGTGCTCGACGTATATCTTTTCTTTGGCACGGGCGATGGTGCGGGTTTCGCGCTCGGGGACGTGGTGCCAGGCTAAGGTTACGCCTGCTCTCTTTCCTGGTGAGGATGAAGAGGTTGAGGACTGAGATGAAGATGGTGAGGAGTCTATGGTTGGGACGGGGATGAGATACCATGTTGCAAAATCCTGTAGACGAGCAGCGGCAGGTTTTTCTTCGGCCGACTTCGCCCAGTCGGAGGAGTCGATGCTGGTGGTTGGGGTGGTGGTGGTGTCTTCGCTCGTAGAGCTGGGAGAGCTGGAAGAGCTGGAAGGGGGAGAGGGAAAGGGCGAGATGGAGACACTGGTCAGTCTCCTCTTCCCGCTGCTACTCAACCCCAACTTCCTGTTTCCACCACCGAGATGATCCTCTTCATCATCTTCACCATCACCACCAGCAGCAGCAGCAACTTTTAAAGCCCGCCTAGTTGCAGCACCCGTCACACTCCGTCTATAACTTCCCCACGCCGACCAACCTAGGTAATCAAACTCGGCGGTACACGGTCCTCCTCCCTTTCTGCCACTTCCGCTTCGCTTTCGTTTCTTGCCGTTTTTGTCTCTCTCTTGGGATCCTCCTTCGTTGACGGCAGGCATCAGACAGCAAAAGATGTGGCCGCACTCCAGACATCTCTGCGTGCAGGCTAGTCGGTATACAGACCGGCAGGAGTGGCAGGACCAGAGCCAGGGGTAAGGAGCGGGAGGCGGGAGCATGGGTGGCGTTGTTGGTGCTGTTGGAGAAGACTTTGGTGTGCTGCTCGCTGGTGGCGTGTCTCTTCTGGTTGAAGCCGTGGGTGACGGGAGAGTTGGTGAGTATTTGGCTGTGTTGCTGCTGTTGCTGTTGCTGTTGGTGATGCCACTACTAAAGGTACCGAAAGTGCCGGAAATGGGCGAGTTGGGACTGTTTTGAGGCTTGACCTTTGTGGGAGAGTTGATCATTTCTGAGATGGAGCCGGTGACGATAGTTAGCTCTGGGATGGTGTCGAACAAGACGAGCCTGGGCGGCTTTGTCTTTGCATTTGGTTTGGAAGGCATTTTGTTTGGTCTGTTGTTGTATCCTTTTTTGAGTTGAGTGTCCGTAGAGTTTGTTGGTTTGAAGTTCTAAGAACCAGGAAGAGGATTGACAAGCTTGTTGGTTTGAAAGTGCGGGAAGAAGCGTTGCCTTGGGTGTGTTGTGCAGAGCGGGTAGTTGTATTCTATTGACCAACGGCAACAATAAGCCGTAAACAGGAAACCCAGAAGAGCAACAATATCAACAGTATCCAGCCTGTTGGTAATGGACAGAACTGAAGATGAGACTGAAGCCAGATGCGACGAAAACCGGGGATGCAGTAAAAACGACCGAGGGAGGGCGCTCAGATTCCGGCCTGATAGCGTGAAGCTGACAACATGAGAGGTCTGGGCCAGACGTCCGTTAGATTGCTTGTATGATATGCGTCCTGTAGGCTCAAAGGTCGCATAATGGTGCGAGATCAAAGAAGCTTTGGGATAGCGGATGTCGCAACAGAAATAGACCTTGCTACTCGAGTCCGTTCTTTGTCTTGATGCTCCCGCTAGAACGCGCCACGCAGAATATGGGGAACTTCCAAGCGGGCTGGTGAGCAGAAAATGGAAAAACGACAAAGACTCGGTTTCAGCCATCATGTATTGGAATGAAAGGAGGGCATCTGACAATGCGCCTCTTGAGTAGATCAGTCAGCAAAGATCAAAGACACCATCGGGGCATCGGATCTGGACCGGGGTAGTATGGACCGCCGCTCCTAAACTAAGTAACTTGACACGTACTGTAGACGGGTTGCGTAGTGATTGCAGTCAACTTTATGGTTTCTTATAATCTCCAAGTTTGTATTAGATCGTCGTCGTCAGCCTTTTCCACCTTGCTTGTATGTATGGTACCACCAATGCGACACCTCGTGGTTCGGGTTTTGTAAAGCCCAACGCTATCACCACTCAACTACTAAACTTAAGCCATCAAAGCCGCCATTAGTACCGGATGTTCCCACTGTCCGGCAGTGAGCCTCTAGTTCTCGCCCAAGAATGGCAGCACTGTCTTCAAAAAGTCCTCCCTGCCATCAACAAAGGACACATGTCCAGCATTCAGGATGACCTTGAGCTCAGCCTTTAGGTTTTCTGGGCAAGTATCCCGCAACTCCTTCATCTTCTCTGGCAGATCCCCATCCTTCTCGCCAACCACGAGTAAAACATGCTGAACACAGTTTCCAAGCCCCGGCATCAAGGGTCGGATATCGAAGGAATCGGACCTCAGGGCGGCAATACAGGTCTCGAAGCCATCAACGCTGGTTTGCTTCATCAGTGTGTGCACACGCTCCGCTTCGGTTGGGTTGGCCTTGATCCAGTCTTGTCCAAACCAGCGGTCCAAAGTCTCGGCCACGGCCTTCTCCATAGATCGATGCTCTCTGGCGGCAGCCACGCGTGGGATAAAAGCATCGGGCACGCCGGCGTTCTTTGGCGAAGCAGAGATGGTGTCGCAAATGACAAGTTTCTGGACAACGCCGGGGTAACGGCTGCTGAAGACCACGCCTAGTGCAGCACCCATGGAGACGCCAATCCAGGCGTGCAGTGAAGGGGTGAAAGCAGCATCGGGGGAGTGATGGCCGTGGAAGGCAGCAGCGACATCAGAGCTGGTCAGAAGGGCGTAGACGTCTTCGACAAGAGAGGCAAAAGTAGTGGAAGAGAGATCGTCGGGCACGCCTGAGGCGCCATGGCCGGGGTGATCGTAGCGCAGAACGCGATATCCGGCATCGTGGAGGCGTTCTACGATGTGGTCCCAGAAACGATACTGGGATGAGAGTGAATTGGAGAGGAGGACGGTGGGTCGCGTTGGCTCATTGGAGTAGGTGAGCTCGTACGAGATGGTTCGTCCAGACGGGAGCGAAAAGACCGCCATTTTGTTCTGTTTTTCTTTCTTTTCACTGTTGCTTTATTCTTTGGTTGACTGGACTTTAGCAAGGTCAAAGTGTAGAAGGAAGTCAGTGGTTAAGGTATTGTGGTGCAGTTTTAAACCTGTGGCTGATTAGGTGATGTGACCAAGTTCGAATTGGTTCGATGACGGCAGGAGGGATGCATATCTGGAAAGGTGGGGCGGCTCGGCGGAGGGGTCTCGGCGGAGGGGTCTCGTGGTGGCCGGGCATCCCTTCTCGAACAGATTGACGGACTGCGGTTCGGAGCGGGGCACGTGCTGACGACGGGATCGGCCGGTAATGTGGAATTAGTGGCGTTACAACACCGGAATGCGGGGGAGTAGACGGTCAGCTTCCTCTTCCCAAGAGACCCCGAAAAAACAACGAAGACGGTGAGCCACACAGCTTACACGCCGAGTCCTTTCGTCCAAACCTAAAAGCAACCCAATGTCTCGATATGTTAGGCTTCGCTGCCTGGTGGCCATGCTTTTGTGAGACGCTTCCCAGCCGGTGCAACATGTCTGTCCAACGTGGTGCAGTGCATCGAGTTTGGACTACAATAGGTATCGCCAATGGAAGCTCCAAGACCACCGGCCGTTGCACTGTGACAGACAGGCAGTTAGCATGTGGTTGGAAACTCAAAAGAGGTACAAAAACAGCCAGCTTAAAACGATATGCTGACGGCCGACCGCAGAGTCGCGAGATGGTGCAGACCCATCAAAGACATGTTTGTGTCTTTTGTCGCAGCCTGCATGGCCCGTTCGTTTCTGAAATGTCTAAAAAGTCCAAGAGAACCGATTCCCATTCGCACTCCCGATTCACCGGTCGTCTTCTTCCCTCATGGCTTCAACACAAACGACAGCAGTGTCTGGACCAAGGTGGCCATCGTCGTCATGGTACAGTCCAATAGTGATTTGGTTGTTAGCTCGAGACCTCTTATCAACTTTCCGAGGCGTTTTCAGTATCTCTTTAAACCGTTTCGTTCCATAACCAAAGGGTAATTTTACCTTGTATATGCTAGTTTGGGAACCTAATAAGCCATATTGAATCTTATTAATAAGGTTTAGGACAGTTCGACATCAATCTCGTCCAGTACAGTAGGAGTACCGAGCTAACAAACAAACTAGCATTATAAACTGGTCTTGGCAAAGATACAAAAGATGGCCAATCAGAGCGCGTTAACCACACAGTAACTGAAGAGAGTGGATTTCGATATGCATCGCGAAAGCCTCTCTTCGCTGCGATCCAATATTGCCCTGTTTCTCAAGAGAGCTGAGATCAGTGAAAGATTACCAATAAAAGCGTCAGAAAAATTAGTGACGCTTAGCCTCATCGACGTCCAAGACGATCCGGTCTCGAGCCGGTAATTTGGCCTTCATCAAATCTCCTTGCCCGATAGAGAGATCGATTGACTGATTGGACCCGAAGCTCGCAATGACGGTGATTTCTCATGCAGCTGTCAATGAAAAACCACATCTTTCATTCATCCTTGGAAATCCGAGATGTTGCATCTTTCCGTGAGAAAAGTCAGGGGCACCCGCATCCCGGCTTTTCCGTACCTTCCGTCATCAAACACAGCGTCAAAGAGACGGCGGGGTGAGAAAGTTCATTGTTTGGAAAGCAGGCTGGGACACGACGTCTCTACATATAAATAAGTGAGGCGGTAGAGTTGGAGCAGTAGTGCACCGTCGCTCACGGCACATGTCGTCGATCATCGAGCCAACTCTTTTTCTCGAACCAACGGTTCTCGGCCATCAATGACGAGAAATTGAGTTCAAAAGGAGAAATAGTTCAAGGGTGGTATTCCCAACGCTCTGGGACAACACCTTGACAGGCCTAGCGGATTTGGTCATCTGGCGGGAGTAGACGGACAGCCACCGGAAGGACTTTGACTAACAGCACTGCAGAGCAACCCTGATGCCGGCCCCGGGGTATGGAAAAAGGGGCCAAAACCGTCAAGGGTGTCCCCTTTCCCCACAAGCCCAGATTAAAAACCGTCAGGCACAGGGCAGAAGAGCCGGGCCTGGATACGACGCTAGAATATTTCCGTTCCGAACGGTGCTTTTTACCATGTCTCTTTCTTGCTTCAGTGCCTTCGATGCTGACCGCTTCAACAACTAGAGTGCTGATGGCGTACGGCTTGACGGATACATGTTAGCTTCTGATTATGAAGCTCAATTTTGAACTGGGTATTCTAACAAACAGATTCTCCTGCAAACGAGCGGTCAGCCTCCTAGGATATGGTGTAGGTAGACATGAAGACGTGTTGTCATTACTATCATTCTCGATACCATGTTTCGGCCGCATCGCAATATCACAAGCCTGGCCTTGTGGCAACAGTAACAACAATGACTGTGCCCAAACAATGTGGTGTCGTTCTCCATTCGGAGTTGCTACGACCTATGAATCTTCTTTTTTGTTAAAAATAGCCCATCTTCTCTCCCGGTTTGGCACCAACGAAGCCATGATCAAGGGTTGCCAAGCGTGCCCCCACGATGGCATATTAATCTGTTTCGTTCAGTAATAGTTTCCCCTCTTCGTAATTCTGTATTGCTGCCCCTTTTCCATCATCGCAGACTGAGCACCGCTTGGCTTGCAATCTCTCGTGAGGACGTCAGGACTCGAAGAGTCAGGGGCCCGGCCAGCATGGCCCCACCCGGCAACGGATCCCCGGTCCCGGCAGCACGGACAAGAAAGACCGGGTGACCGGGTGGGTCAGGAACACAGATCTGTGGGAGATTTCTCGCAGAAGGCACGCCACGGCGAGTAAGTCGATGAATGCGCGGTGAAGGTGAGTCTGGCGAGGGGGGCGAGGCCCTTGACACCGGTGATACACGTTCCCAACTGTCCCGCGACGTCGACCCTGTGTGAAAAACAACGGCGTTGCACCGGGTTTGTTCGCTAGAGTTTAGGGGACGGTAGCCGATTCACGTGTGGAGAAGAACCAAAAGGCGGGATCGTGGAATCTCCAGCGTGGTACACCCTATATTATGTAGCACCAAAACTCACGATAGGTGGTAGCAGTAGCAGGACCATGTGTACGGCTCCATAACCATGGATCGAATGGAAGCTTCTTTGAGAAGCCCATGGGCTCCGGCTCCTCATGGACCCCCGTAGGAGGTCGTCGCGAATCTTGGCTGTCGTGGTTAGCGACTAGTTAGCCATGTTCCCCCCTTTCACTTTTCTGGAGCCTTGTTGCCCCTTCAAGCCAAGATGACCAACGAAAAGCAACAAAAACCGCAACAGGAGAACCCCCAAAATAAACGAGAATAATTTCCAGGTGGCCTCCACTAGAGCTCGATCGCCAGGGGTTTGGGCCACAGATGGACCCCATCTCATCATGGTGATATCCGCGCACACAATGTTAGTTCGCATCTCCTGGAACCGCTAGCCGTACGCTGTTGTATGTAGACAGAGCGAGACAGAGGAGAAAGCCCGGTCATAATGTGGGATTGTTGCCTCTGGAAGGTTTGGAACACATCCCATTGAGTCCGACCAGCCAGGGAGCTTGGATGGTCTTGGGTCAATAAGGGGGAAGAGGGGATAAGGCAGAGAAGGGACAAGGGGGCTCAGTTAGATAGGTAACAAACAGACTTTGCGCGGAAAAGTGTCCAAGAGTGATAGCGCAATAACGGTTTGCCTCGACCAGCCCGGATTTGCCGGGTACCTGTTCACACCGGAGTAGGCCAGTTGATCCAGGACAAGACCGTCAGTCCCGAAGAACAATGAAAGTGTTCGGTAGCGTGCTCATCATTCACGACGGAACAGAGATGGGCCGTGATGGACAGCATGGTGTCTTTGATGAGGCACGCGTGGTGATGGGCGTCGCAAGTGGTCCCGCGAATGATTGACAAGATTAGCGGACCGTGCAAAGGAGGCGATTGGACAAAAGGCATGCTAGGTGATGTCCGGCGGATGGCGGGAGGGCAGCCCCAGGAGGCGGCAGTCCATGCTTCTAGCGCAAGTCAGATGACCCACTTTGTGGATGCCGCGTGCCTGTACAGAAAATGACGTATCAGGGATTGGTAGACCGCAGGTTGGTGTCCCTTATTCATGGGGGTCCTCTGAGCCTCTACACTACTACACGGACGCACGGACGCAAGGCACGCACGGTAGGGGCCGCCGCGCTGCTACAGATCCCGTTTCTCCTCTTTTGTTTCATTTTCAATTTTCGGGCTGCTGCAGGGCATTGCATTCGCATTGGATGCATTCATTCAGGCATGAAGTTGCAGTGCAGTTGAGGGCTGTTAAGGTTGACAGAAACGAAGATAGTCGAGGTGACACCTTACCTTATCCTCACTAGTGTGGGCAAGTAAACGGGATTTGAACTCCCCTCCCCCCCCTCGTCAGGGCCCTCGCCAGGTCCCTCGTCGCTGTTCCACCGTAGAAGGAGTACAAGCTCCATCCGAGTTGCCTCCAATTCCAAAACAAAAAAGCAGAAAGGTGCGCTTGCACTGGACATCAAGGAGATTTCAGTAGTTGGCACCCGATCGACCTAAACTCTTCTTTCCTCTTTATTGTCTACTACACTATTCTGGTAGTGTACCATTCATATCTACGAACCGCCCCGCTTCTCTTCACCTTTTCGGCGTCGTACCGTACCCGACCCAAGGAACCTGGAACTCCCCGTCAGGTCTATCTCCAACAAACCATTCACCACCACTACGTACTCACATTTAATTCTCCTTGCCCCCCCCCCCCCCCTCCTCTCTCCCGCCCTTGTTGGAGCTCTTGGATCCAACCAACCAAAGTGGAACCTTCACCACTACCATCAACATCATCGTCACCACCGTCAACATCGCTACTATTTACTTCATCAACAATAACAGTAACTACCGACGTTGTTACGACTGTTCGACGATCACAACATATAGAGCCATCTACTTGGACGAGTCGACGTGAACGATCATTGTAGAGAGCAAGCGCATTCATTCACACACACATACACGCACACACGCATACACCACGCATACACATACACAACAAC